TTCTTGTCCCACACTAAAAATACTAAACACTAAAAGGGGGAGTGTAGTGGTAATGAAATCCCACATTGAAAGAATTCAAGAGTTACCACCACAATATAAGGCTAAGGGACTACTCCCCTCATTGGCATATGGTTTTGAGGTGGAACCTCCTTGGTCTTGTAAAGTGGTGGACTTGCACTCTCCCGTGACGGGTGTGGCCCAGACCCGTATTTAACACGGAAATGATTTTGGCACATTAAAAATTAATTTTTGCACATTCATTATAAATTTATAAGGAAATTTTGATTTTTACCACCTTCAAATAATGACTTTGTCGAATTTACCACCTCCAAAAAAAAAATTAACTTTACCACCTCATAAGAAAAATTAAACATCAGTTTTACCACCAATCACCTCCAACTAACGGATTCCGTCCAAAAATCCGTTAGTGGGGCCTACCCTGCACACGTGTCGCCATATTATTGGGTAAGTTTTAAAAAAAATTAAAAAAAAAATTAAAAAATCCCCATCAAGCATGTGGAGTGAACTAATTTCACAAATCCTATAATGTTTATTTGATATATGAAGCATGTGGAGTGAACTATTTTACCAAATTTGGCAAATTATTTACCTTTCTATTGTATAATTTTCTCATTTGTATTTAACAATATCATAATTAGGTGATGATTGTGTTGCTATAACAAATGAATCACATGATATAAACATAACCAAAGTTCATTGTGGACCAGGGCATGGTATCAGGTGACATTTCTATAATTCTAAATAAAAATAATTTCTAAGAATATCAATAACATTTTATTTTTGATTTTCAAAAGTTAGACAATTTTGTTTGATAATGATTTTAGTAAATATTAACTAATGGAATGACTTGAATTGATACTAAATTCTGGTGAGATACCAGTATTGGAAGCTTAGGCAAAGGGGGAGGCAATGATACTATACAAAATGTACATGTGTGGAATTGTACCTGCAAAGATACACAAAATGGCGCCCGAATTAAAACGTCGCAGGTAATCATTATGCACAGATTACATTGACAAACTTTTAAGATTCGGAAGGAGTATTGTTAATTTTGACTATAGATTTCAGACTAACAATGTGTGTTTGTTCTTTTCAATAATAAAACCTTGGATTAACATTTCTTTTGTTTGTAGGGAGGGTTAGCATTTGCTCGAAACATCATCTACGAAGCCATTTTGTTTGAAAATGCTGGTAACCCCATCATTATTGACCAATTCTATTGTTCTGGACAACAACACTGCAAAAATCAGGTAAACAAAACGTAGTACATCTTCAACCCCGCGCTTATTGATCTTATTAACACTCATTCATCTTTTGGCTTTTGGTAACAAGTAAGATTAACTAATTTAAACATATGCAATAAGAATCGATAATACGAATTATAACATTTTGCAGACAAGTGCAGTGAAAATAAGTGATGTTGCATTTAGAAGAGTTTCAGGGACATCGCAATCAGAAAATGCAATTGTATTACATTGTAGCCAAACTTTTGGATGCTCAGTTCAAATTGAAGGAGCTAATATTACATCTTCTAAGCCTGGTGTACAAACATTGGCTGATTGCTTCAATGTTCAAATTCAAAATGGAGACTTGTCTAATAATGTACCAAGTTTAGAGAATTGCCATTAATAATTGTCATTATTAAATTAGTGCAAAAAAAAGTATCAAAAGCAAACAATTTGTAACGACGAAAGGATTAGTGTGTCGTTGCAAATGTCTTGTTATGTATAGTTTGTAGTTAAAGTTCTACGGAATAATGATTTAATAAAGGGCAAATTCTTGTGAAAGACTCTTATATTCCGTATATAGTTATATGTCTCAGAGATAAGGAATAAAAGTAGTGTAAAAAAAACCCTTAAATAATTGTTCTATTAACCTTACAAAAAGTAATACTATGTAAGGGAAAAAAAATGATTAGTATCACTCCCTATGTTTTTTTTTAAATGCATCAGTTTGACCGGCACATTTGCCGAGACGTTATTTTGACCATAAATATCTTTAATTGTGTATTAGTAAAAATTGTAACAAAATTATATTATGAAACTAGACATTATAACGAATCTAATGATATATCATATAATAACAATTATTCATTTTTTGATTTTTTAGAGGTCAAAAAATTAAGTCAACCATGGTATGTGAATAGTGCAATTGTCAAAGTGATGCATATAAAAAAAACAGAAGGAGTAACTATTAATACAATATTACAATTAAGCTGAATTGGATTGAGATGTGAGAAGTGCCAATTCATTTGGTCAATAGAGCCTTTTTCTTACCTTAAAAATAATAAGATTACAACATTGAGGAAGCTAAATAATTAAATAAATCAAAACGACAAAAAGGTTGTTTTTCCTCTTTTGATAAAGGTTACATTTGTAATTTTCTAAAAACTTAATTGATAACATAATCCATTAACTTGTAACTTTTAGGTGTAAAACACACAAATTTCTCTCAATAATCTTGTACATGCACAAAAAATCTAACCTTGTGTTACAACCTTCCAATAACCAATTCCTCTCTCCTCCTAATTATCCTCCATCGTTAATCTCCTTCTCTCCTCCCTCCTCTTACCAACAATGGGGAAGAGGGACCTTGAGACCGGCATAGGCGGTACATTCTACCACTACACACCACCACCGCCACCCATCCACCCGCCGCCTAGGGAACCATATCTTTCATGGCTAGTTCCCCTCATCTTCATAATCGACGTAGCTTTATTCGCGTTAACAATGTACGAAAACAATTGCCCTGAGACCCTTGTAGATGACCCTGATCACCATTGCATTTTTCAGGAAAAATTGGGCAGATTCTCCTTTGAGCCTTTTAACCGAAACCCTCTCCTTGGCCCTACTACCTCTACGTAAGTCTCTTCTTTTTCCTATTGTATTATGATATCATGCATTTGATGAATTTTGCCATTATTATTCTAACACATTATAGAAAAGGTGAAAATTAAATGTTGGAATCTAAGATTTGTTTTTTTTATTTTTGATTGTTATTTGTTTTGTCACAAGGGTTCAATAGATTAATTGCATCCCATTTGGAAAGAATTGATGGGTTTTTTTTGAATGATTTTCAATTTGAAATCAACAAAAAAATATTAAGAATGAAAAAAAAAAAGCTATGATTTGCTTAAAAAGCAGTATAATTAACGATCAATATTGTTTATTAATTTTAAATAATAAATGTGCATAAGTTTAAATGACAATTATTTATGAAACTCCTAATGTTGGTCATAATTTGATTCAGGCTGCAAAAAATGGGAGGACTTCGGTTAGAGCTAATATTACAAAATGGTGAATGGTGGAGATTATTTTCTTGCTTATGGCTTCATGCTGGAGCTGTACATTTGATAGCTAATATGATCAGCCTTCTTTTCATGGGAATTCGTGTCGAAGAAGAGTTTGGATTTTGTAAGTGATTTACAGTATGATTTTGTTTTCTCTAAATCACTTGGAATTATAAGCAATTAAGCATGCCAAGCTAATTCTCACCTGATATATATAATCTCTTACAACCTGTTTGGTAAGCAATAATAAAAGACGACAATAACGAAAACGAGTTTGCTAGTAATTTTGTAAGGAAAGCTTCAAAACAATGTAACTTAGGTACTCTGGATTTAAAGGTAGATTGAAGCCGAAAGAAACAGGGTAAAAACTCCTTATTTTTTATCTTAGTATCTTGTGTATAACAATGAACATGTATGTATACTTCTGTAAAATTTCAGGGAGAGTAGGACCACTGTTCGTGCTATCTGGATTAGGAGGAAGTTTGATGTCTTGCCTGCATGCCCTCCGCCACCAAAAAATCGGGGTGGTTTCAGTTGGTGCCTCAGGCGCGCTTTTTGGACTTCTTGGTGCCATGCTTTCGGAGCTCATAACTAATTGGACTATTTACGCCAACAAGGTCACTTTGTCACTTCTTTTGTTTACTACTCCCTCCATAATATCTATGTTTCATATATCTTCTTTGCTGCTAGATAGTTGATGATGTAGGTTTCATTTTGTTAGAAACAGGAAGTTTTTCGCTTTTTTGATGTGATTAGAATTCTGACCAAAGCCACAAAAATTTAACTCTTTGTTTATAATTTGCATGGAATCAAAAAAGGAATATTTCTGAAATTGAAATTATGATTTTTGCTGCAGTGTTCAGCAATTTCATCACTAATGGTGGTGATAGCCTTGAACTTGGCAGTAGGATTGATCCCAGGGGTGGACAGTTCAGCACATATAGGAGGTTTCGTTTCGGGTTTTTTGCTGGGTTTTGTCCTTCTAATGCGACCTCAATTCGGTTATGTTAACAGCAAATACCTTCCTCCTGGCTACAAACAGAAATCCAGACACAAGTGTTACCAGTATTTCTTCCTCATACTGGCTCTCATCGCCTTGATTATTCTGTAAGTTTTATACAACAATATCTCAACCCCCTTATTCCTCTCTTTCCCTATTTTTTTCTATGTAGATTAGTGACCTTAAAAGAGTAATTTACCTGTCTTAATCTTTGTAATCTGCAGGTATGTGTGTGGATTTACAGAGCTTTTTAAATCGATCGACTTAGAAAAATCAGAGTTAGCTTTAGGTTAATAGACTAATTATGTTTTCAACAACATCCATGGGCAAATAAATTTCATCATCAGTAATTGTATCAGTGCTCTACACAGAATAATACTCGATGTGAATCACCAACAACCAAAGAAATCCAGATTCACGGTTGCGTGCATCTTATGCACCAATGTGGTTTCTTTCTTCTCCTGCCTTTTTTTATTGCCCTTTTTTCTTCATTTCCTTATCATTGTATTATGTTCATGTATTGGTTTCAGAAGCTTAAGTAGTGCTTTGCAGTTGTTATTTGTGCTTTTATAGTTTTTCATTTGTTGTTAGAAAGATGAACATTAAATTGTGTTCTGTAGTTCTGTTCCTCTAAATATTCAGCTATGTATGTATATAGTGTGTTAAGAAAGTTGTAAAGACATCTATGTATGTATATAATGACTTCTATATCTCCTCATCAAGTACAAAGGTTCAATTTCAGTCGAAAGCTGAGCAATGTGCTTCATCAACTTTCCATAAAATTACCAATCTACATGTATAATCAAGATGACATTGTAATACTATAGCATACACTATCTACATAAATCAAATGATGACATTCACTGATCTGCATATATCTCGCATGACTCTGACTTACCAAAAATGTTGTACCGGTTGTTTGCTAAATTGTCATATGCAAAATCACGAATGAACCTGAAAAAGTTACCAAGAAATAGAAGTTAAAGGTCATATTAGAGACTCGCCAAGCTGCAAATGAAAAGTATGGATCATTTAATTTCTTAAACAGCAACAAAAAAGAAAAGTTTACTCACAGCGGTACAAGATTCAGAAATAATGCCAACTGTGGAAATGGTAAATTGATGTATTCCATGATCTTTAAAACAGCTTCAGACTTTATGTAAGATCTGCAGAAAATATACGTTTGATGTTAAAGAACTTATCACTTATGAGGCATAAATACAGTCAATGTTGGTAAAGACTATCATATGCAGCAAGCTAACAACAATCACATATCCTCAGTGTATGGTGATGCAAAGAGTGATTGACATGCAATTAGCCACTGAAAAATTCAAGAAATTTGCTGAATTCAGTATAATACATATCAGTGGATACTAATAAAAAAGAATTGTCCCTAATTCTCATTGGTTTTGTCACATTACTCACATACATTTCCTATGACTCGATACAGATTGGTTTCCTCTAAGTTCCTCGTACAGATTTATAAATAGGCAGAGGGGCGAATTCTTGTTCTACATTCTATTCTAAAATAGTAGGGCAATAAACTCAAATGATCTCAAAAAAAAAAAAAAAAAAAAAAAAAAAAAAAAAAAAAACCTTGTCCTTCAATCCAAACTAATGTACTTATGCATTTAGCTTCCAAGGTTATGTATAGCATACCTCTCTTTTTCAACCAGGACAACACTGGATATATCATCAGGATCTCTTCCTGATCTCCTCAACAACATCTTTCCTGATTCACTTTGTAAAGCTTCGTATCTAATATTCCTGCAATTATGCCCAAGATAAATTATTTTCGTTAATTACAGACATGCATGTAAATAGAATATTGTACTAATAGAGTACAGCCTATCAGCACAAGGCAAACATTCCTTTTCATTTCTTACAGATATGCATGTAATAAAATCATAGATTTCTGTAGGTAGAGATCTTCGAGGAGAAAGGGAAGCAACCAACCTATTGCGATCATTGTCACGAACAAACTTCACACCACCATTACACAGATTGCAAACACCTGATACATGACAGGATAGTTCAGATTGTGCTCTTACATAACGCTCTCCAAAGAAAGCAAAGACGATCAAAATCTCTACCATAACCAAGCCAACTTAACACAGTAATGTCAGAATGTCTGCAAACAATCACAAAGGTATGCAAACACAATCACAATCAACTAAAAGTGCAAATTAAAGCAAAATCTAGCTAGGTGAATTATAGCAATATAGCATGAGACGGAAAATGTGCCCGATTTTTAAAAACCTTACCCAATATTCTGCTAGTCAATCACGAAAATCACCTTTAAATTTAATCAAAACACCTCTATTTTACCATACAATGGTCTTACTATAGCTATGAAGATTTTTGCAGAAACAAATACTAAGTTTTACAAATTAATCTTCATTGTTCTCATCAATGGCTGCTACAGGATTTTAGTACAAAAGATATATGAATCTAAGAAGTGAAATTTCACTAAGTAACGAAAATTCAATGTCCTCCATTCTTTTCATGCACGAAATTCGAAAAAAATCCTAATCAATCAATTGTACAAAATTAAAAATCCACCAAACCCTCATATTGAATCAAAGCACAATCCAGTAGCACTTTAAGCCATGAAAGAGCTAAACAACATTATTGCAAAACCTCCACTTAAAAAAAAATCATTCCGGATTTAGTTGTCACATTACTAGTTCATTCTTCGTATTACAGTATCAATCTGACAATTAATTTTTAAGGGAGAGAGTAATTCCGTCACATAATTTCAAACCCACAAATTAATATCTTCCTCCGTTTTTTAATACTTGCAACACATTCAACACATTAAGAGTATAATTTAGTGCGGCATGAGATTATAATAAGGATAATAGTACAACTATTGACATAAAATACTTTCCAATTAGTGTGTTGCAACTATTATGACATGAATTATTGCAAGTATAAAGAAGCGGAGGAAGTAATTAATAATGAATAACTAATTCATTAGAATTTCATAAACATGATCAACAAACTTTGATATCAACAAAAAAAAAAAAAAAAAAAAAAAAAAAAAAAAAAAATTATTAAACAAATCTTCAAAAAATAAAAAGAAATTACCATCATAGAGCATAATTGGTCGGGAATCCTTGTCAAAGAAAGCGGAAGTGGCTTTTACCCAATCCGTTGTATCGCCGGAGACACGTGTCTCCGATATAGATATCATCGGAATCCGACGAGGTAGCGTCGCTGCTAAGCGTAATCCGCCGGAAAACATCGTCGCCATTTTGTCAACAAAAAAGGAGAGCTTTTTCTGTTTACCGTTTTTGGTTGAGTTTGCTTCACTTAAAAGGCGTGTTTGGGGTGATCCACGTGGAAATTTTGTCACCATTTACTTTTTTTTTTTTTTTTTTTTTTTTTTTTAATCCTTTCACATGTTTAAGGTGTATTTAGTTCATTAATTTTAGGAAAATTTTTAAATTACCACCCAAAAATGTATCTATTTTCGAACTAATCATCCGTTTAATTTTTTATTTTAAATGACTACCCCTGAAATTAAATAAATGCTCAGATTACCACCCATTTTAAAAATTCGATGGATTTATCGTCTGTGGGCCCCACCTAACGCTTATTTTGACCCTTTTGACTGATTTTCCCCTCGATTTTTCTCTTTAAAAACGTTCTCCTAACTTTAATTCACATTTTCTCTTTGAAATTTGGTAGAATTTGGTGAAGGAAATATGAATTAAAGTTTAGAGAGCGTTTTTAAAGAGAAAAAAATGGGGAAAAAATCAGTTAAAAGGGTCAAAATAATTGTTAGACGGGGCCTATAGATGGAAAATCCACCGAATTTTTGAAATGGGTGGTAATCTGAGCATTTATTTAATTTAAGGGGTGGTAATTTAAAATAAAAAATTAAATGGGTGGTTAGTTCGAAATTGGTTACATTTTTGGGTGGTAATTTAAAAATTAACCTTAATTTTACTTTGGTAACAAGGTTATAACAATAAGGCCTTGTTCACTTCACATATTCAGTTTAATAAAAATAATTTAGGTTTACTAAAAATAATTTTAATTCAGTAAAAACCAGTAAAATTAAAGAAAAAGTATAATCGAGGATGGTAAAAATAATTTCAGTTCAATAAAATTAATTTCAATTAAGTAAAAATAATTTCAGTTTAGTAAAAATTAGGTGAAATGAACCGAGTCTAAATTCTTTCTTCCGTACTTATTAATTTGCCCCATTCTAAAATTCAATCTTAAATTTTCATTAATCAATAAGAGGTAATACAATCGTGAGTGAGATCTTTTGGATTTGGCACATTATATATAATATTAAATTTTATAATTTTTATATGTATGCAATGAAAATACATAATCATAAGACGCGTCTCAGGGATATGTATGTAAAGTTTAATTATTAGTTTATGCTTGAGCATTTATGAGCAAACTCTTATCCGAGCTCAATTTTTAAGGCTTGACAAGCTTTAAACTCGAGTTAAGCCTAAGTTCATTGATGTTTAGTGAGTAATTTATGAGCAAACCCGGACTCAAGCTCAATTTCTAAGACTCAACAAGCTTTGAGCTCGAGTTGAGCATAAGCTCACTATTGTTCAATGAGTAGGCTCGGTCTTGGCTCATCAACACCATTAAGGTGAAAGTTTGGTTTATCAATGGTAAATAAATACAAGTAATAATTACAGGCTTATAGAGTTATAGGCCTTATAGCTAGACAATGAAAATTACCTAAGGAGAAATGGCCCATAATATTGAAGCCCAAAAAAAAAAAAAAAAAAAAAAAAAAAAAAAAAACTTGTAATTTATTGAAGTTAAAGTCTTACTAACATTTACGGAGTAGCATCGTTTATATTTTTCAACAGCAGAAGGAGGAGGAGGTCGAGTCACCGGGCGTCAAATCTCGCCGGAATCTGGTCAAAGGAGAGAGAGAAAATGGCGTGGGTTAGCGATCAAATCGACGCTGTCAAATCCATTCAGATCAGACAACTTGTTCATCAAGCCGTCAGTCTTGGTTCGTCCTTTGTCCCCTTCGTGTTTATCAATCCTCAATTTTAACCTAAAATCGTTCATCTTTTGCTTAATTCATCGATTTTATTTTGGTGTTTAATTGCATACGACTGTTGCTCAATTGGGGTTTGCTCTTTTATTAGGGTTTTGGAATTATATGTTAATTATTTGAGATGTTGTTATGATTGGTGTTAATTTGTTTGATTTCATGGAAAATTGTTTGTTTAGGGGTAATTGAGTGGGATTTTTTGTTACAAGTATAATGATTTGTAATTCAAATAAATACTCGTTGTTGAATTCAAGGTGTTGGAGAAATTACATTGATTAACAGAGTTCAGGGCGTAGAGCCTTGTACAATCCGACATATAAACGTTTTACATTCACGCAAAGTAAGGGGGAATTTGGGAGATATATTAGGATAGAATTAGTAGTTGGTTACAAATACAATTAGGAGATATATTAGGATTATTAAGATTTTTTTAATACTCTATCTTATTTTGGGATATGATTATTAGTTATCTATCTTATTATTGTGCAATTTTTCACCCATAATGATTTTTGTGACGCAAATTTTTTTATTTGATGAGCTTTTGCTATCATAGGTTTAGGGAGTTAAACCAAACACAAAACTGCCACTGACAAAGAACTTTTATTTCCTTAGAGAGTTGGAATCTATCCCTTTAAATTTCGTGTAATTCTTTAGTTCTTGCTTAAATTCGAAGATCCAATATTATTATAGCTTGCAAGCCTTCTGTGTCTTGAGAGATCCACATCAGAACCTCCCTAAGGTTTGACTGACTTCCCTGATGAAGATGGTGGTGAAAGCTCAAAAAATTGTAAATTTTGGTAGATTCTTTTTCTTAAAGCTGCTGTTCAACTGAATAAATTTGGAGTATAAGAATTTTATGCCAATGTAGAATTTTGTGATGATGAATATGACAGAGTTGAAAGTCTTTGACTGATATAAATTATGTTGAATACTTGAAAATTTGAAATTATATAGGGAGTATTTTTTTTGTGACTTTGGCTAAGATATGTATAGTACGCTGTAAGCGATAGCTGACATGAAAGCATGTAAAGTTAATTTGCAGCGTGTGAACGAATACTCCATAGTATTTCGTAATATAATATTATTTACTGATGTGTGCTTTCTTATGTGAATGTTGTAGGTTTAATTAACTGGTAATTAATATTTACCTTACTCTCATGCAGGGATGATTGTTACCTCTGCACTCATAATATGGAAGGCGTTGATGTGCTTTACTGGTAGTGAATCTCCTGTCGTCGTTGTCCTTTCTGGAAGCATGGAACCTGGTTTCAAGAGGGTGAGTCATGCCTGATTATGAGTTTCCATGGCTATGCATTTCATAGGTATATACCGGTTAATAGATATTAAAGGTAGTCAGAGTTTGATACTTTGATTTACTTTGACTACCTTTAGAGGCATATACAATTAATTATACAGAATAATAGATTTTCTATCGATCACAATGTATGTTTGGGATGGGTTTTTTTTTTAGCAGTTGAATTGAATGGTTTGCTTATTTCCTCTTTTGCTTTTTGTTTTTGTTTTTTTGTTTTTTTTTTATTTTTTATTTATTATTATTATTATTATTATTTTTTCCGAGTAACAATTGTTTAAAATGGCTTAGGCTTACATGGTGATGATTTGTCTACATTTATGTCATTGCTCACCTGATTGATTTAGCAAGACAACTAAGAACTAAGACATAATTGTGCTCATTCATTTGGTCACCTTGGTCGAACGTGTTTTACACATTTTTTGCCACTTTATATATTTGTACTCCAATTAAATGACTGAAAAATTGCTTTAATTCGGATTAATGCCTAACTTGATGTTATTCTGTTGTGACAGGGAGATATATTGTTTTTACATATGAGCAAGGATCCTATTTATGCTGGGGAAATAGTTGTGTTTAATGTTGATGTAAGTACTATCTTGCCTTTTATTTTTGGCTTTAAATGATATAGTTTTATATGAGTTAATAAAAATTAGAACTTGCTAACTGATTAGGAGTAAAGCTGTATTTATAGCTTTGTTTTGAATGAGATCTGCACCCAGATTGATTGAATTTAAATTTTTTTTTTTTTTTTTTTTTTTTAATTGGCTTTAATTACTCTATAATATGTTTGTATGACTGATGAGAAGCACAAGAGTTTCTTTGTATGGCTGATTGCTATAACATAATTGTCTAACTGCTTGTTATTGGAGACACTTTATTGCAGCCTTTTGTTTATATTTGGTTTGTAAAGATCTGTGCATAATTTGTTGTAACCAGGCTTCTACCGTTTCCCTTGCTTATCAACTAATATAAAGTTATTTGCTACTTCTTTGCAGGGCCGTGAAATTCCAATTGTCCATCGAGTTATCAAGGTATGTCGCACATACTTATTACTATCTCATTTAGAAGGTTATAGATGAATAGTTAAAAATTCCAGCTTGCAAAGTCTATGATTTGGTTGTTCTAAATTCAGCAAGCCGTGTGAGCATTTTAGGATTGAAACTAATGAGTCAAATTTTGAGTCTTGTGTTTACTTTACACTTTAGAGTTGAAATAGATTATTCTGATTACATGCACCAAATGCAGCTTTGTAAAGCTTAGTTAATGTTACTTGGAATATTCCTCTTTGTGTTTTGGGGTTTATATTTAAACAAAATACTGCATTTATGCATAAAATTGATGAATTTACCTCCAAGATAAAGTGATAGAATTATCAGCTACATGTTCTTAACCTTCTGGTGATAGATCCGAAGAACTGCATTAATGCTTTGGTAATATCGGATGCAATTCAATGCGTAGATTTTTTTAAATTTTTTGTTCCAATATGGTTATTATTTACTGTTCTCAATCTATTACAGGTTCACGAGCGGAAAGATACTGGTGAAGTTGACGTCCTTACAAAAGGTACTAACAAATTTTAAATCAAACTTTCTGCTTCAGTTGTTGGGTGGTAGCATTACCCATTTTAGTCATGTAGGCCTTGATTAGCTGGGTTTGTCACACTCTATGGTTATTGGCACTCTTTTTCTCATGCTATGATATGATGTGTGCTTCTTCTGGGCTCCCTCTTATTTCATATTTCCATGCCATTTTCAGGTGACAACAACTATGGCGATGACAGGCTTTTGTATGCTCATGGTCAACAGTGGCTGCAACGACATCATATAATGGGCAGAGCTGTAGGGTAAGCTTTTGCTACCTTTTCCCTTGTGTACTTGCCGTAAATTACCAGTCTTTTGGCCATACCAGTATTGTGAAGCATTACTATAGAATGTAACCAATTGCACTTTTGGGCTTTCTCATCACGTAGAATCGTAGATGACTTGCTACACTTATGATGTTACAGTAATGTGTGTTTCTGCTTCTAACAGTGTTTATTTTACTTTTTTTTTTTCCCCCAATATCCATGTAGATTCCTACCATATGTTGGCTGGGTTACAATCATCATGACTGAAAAGCCAATGATCAAGGTAAGAATTCCTGAATTCATGTAAAAGTTTCCACCAAATTTTCTTTTGTAAGTTTCATTGTTGTGTAATGTGGGTTAAGTTGTCTTTTAACCCTTCTTATTTCTTAAATCTCAATTGGTGTACTTTGGGTTAGGACTCTTAGGATTGGTGCTGGACCGTTGTAATAGATGATGAGTGGTAAGAGTGAAATTGAAATCGTTGATTTACAAATAGTGGATGGGTGGGGGGGATTGGGAGGTTCAAAATTGTTTTGTTTAATTGAGTCATCAAAAATTGTAATACAGATGTAGATTTCATTTCCAACTTAAACTAAGCACATTTTAACAATTTTTTTTTTTTTTTTGAAAGAAACATTTTAACATTTTGTAATGAAGTTTCCTTCTCAGTAACGAAGTTTCCTTCTCATTTTTTGTATTCTCGTCCCTTTCTCATTACCTCATGTGATTAATGCCCCCTTGTCCCTTATTTAGTAGTTTAATAGGGCATGAAAAGGCAAATGGGGCTAAATTCTTACTGCTGCCATATTCATGGGGTTAATTTAATTCTCGTGTACAAGTTATTTAGTTCCTTCTTTTCACAAGATTTCTTAATTTGTGTGTAATTCAATTAAGTATTTAACAGTTTGCCTTCATTTTCAGACTTGTAAGAGTAACAACCATTTTTTTTATCTTGTTGCAGTATATATTGATAGGTGCCCTGGGATTACTTGTCATTACTTCAAAGGACTAGCTGGTGCAAGAACGACCTCTTTTGTGTCTTAGCAACATTTATTCAGTCTTTAATGGTTCATGTACAAGTTATTCGGAAACTAAAATTCAAAAGTTTACATGGTGATTTTGGCCAAAATGTATTGATGTTGTAGTACAATAACATGATACAATGATGATATAAATCGACACAGGTTTAGCTACTCTGTGGCTCTGTGCGGAGTTTTAGAGAAAAAGAATAAAGTAATAGATAAATGGATATGATTAGGAATAAAAAATTTGGAAAACTAAGAGAGAAATATGAATTGGGACTATTAGGTATAATGTGAATGTGAGTGGTCTTTAGATTTGGAAATGGGGCACTTAAATAAAACGACATGTTTTGAGAGATAGACGTTTAAAAAAATGGAGAGAGTATTTAATTAAAACTTAGGGAAAATTTGCAAATTGTAGCCACTTAAAATTGGCTGACTGGTTGACCAATTTTGGAGTAACGTCGGTAGAAAAAATAGTTTCTTTGAGGCGGTCCCGAAGGATTTTCGAACCGTTTTACTGGAGGACTTGCGGGGAATGATGAAGCTTAGGATGGTTCCTTCGAAGACTGGAGTTTCTGTCGGTAGAGAATAAAGAGCTATGCTCTATTAGCTTTTGCTTTGTTCTTTGATTTTTGTTTTTCTGTCGTTTTTTCTTGCTTTTTTCTAGTTTGTATTTTCTCTCTTTTTGGGGCTTGCCCCTCGTGCTCACCAAAAAAAAAAAGTTCTTATTTTGCAAATTGCAATCATTTAAAATTTTTTTGCAAATTACAGCCCAAAAGTTTGTATAAATTGTAAATTGCAGTCAAATTTAACTTTTTTATCGGTTTACATGTCGAAAAATTTTCGGTTAAGGTTTTAGGAGCCATTTTAGGCCTTAGGGAACCGAATTGAGCTCAAAATTAGCAAAAAAAAAAATAACGTTAGTGCCTCGTTTTGCATATCCAAAATGTATCGATTTATGGAAAATTGAAAAAATGAGACACTTAGGGTTTTTTTTTTCTAATTTCGAGCTCAATTTGGGGCTTAAGGAATAAAATGGCCCCTAAAACCTTTACCGAAGATTTTTCGACATGTAAACCGATGAAAGAGTTGAATCGGGCTGCAATTTACAATTTATACGAACTTTTGAGCTGCAATTTGCAATTTTTTTTAAATGGCTGCAATTTGCAAAATACGAACTTTAAATGGTTGCAATTTGGAAATTTTAAGACTCACTAAGACTTGAATTTGATGACATCATTTTCAATGGGGACCACCAACAATGATGTCACATTCAAGTCTTAAACTTGGGGCTAAACTTGCTCTAGCTCAAGAGAAATTAATGCCCTCGACAAGAGAACATATAGGTTCATTACTTCATTTGTTACCCTAAACCCATTAGCTCCGCTCCAAATAGTCCAATTCCAAGTTTCCAACAATCGGATAGTCGAATACATCCAAGACCCGACTCCAAACCAACCCGAGTATGATTCACTCAATTAGACAACTCTATCGGTACCTAACTAACAAACAACCCTTTTTTTTCCCTTTCCTAAAGGCCACAGCTACGTTATTTCTCTCTTGTTACTCTTAAGCTCTGTACATTCTTGTATTTTGGATTTTGTTTCTAATTCAGTTTGCTTATTAAATTATGTGTTAATAATGATAGAGATAAATTTGATTAACTTAATCAATCCTATTTTGTTCTGATTAATTGATTCATTTCTATCAAGTAATTTTTATATAACCCTAGTATTATCTGATAACTAATTATTTAATCAATTATAATTACATCAATCATTTATTTCTTTTTGTTGGAATTCCAATTTATAATAATAATAATAATTGAAGGAGGGAATCAATCAATCAATTTTTACAGTACTAATTTAAACATAGAGAAATTCAGGTATTTACATTTGACACTATCAATTTATATCCTTTAATTAATCATTTGTGGGCTATTTATATTTGCATTATTATTTGTCCATGTTTTGCTTAATTGAGATTTGTCGAACAACAATTTGCCTTTTGATTCGAAAAGTGTGATCATATTTATTATTCTGATGATGCAATTTCCTCTAATTTATTGTCAATCAAAATAATTTTATCGTAATTCTATAATCATGGAAGTTTGGGAAGGGAAATATGTTCGTGACATCCTCTAATTTTGTCTTTAATCTCTTCAAGGACGCAGGTGTATGTGTGGATTGGATTTCATCGAAAAATTCAAAATCTTGTACGAGTACATTCTTTATTAATTAAAGATATCGATGGTCAAAAGTACATCCACAACTTTTGCTACTGTATTGGACGTGCAAAATCATAACGTTAGTGAAATGTTGGTAGATAGGCTCACCAATTTGCCTGATGATTTATTAATTCAGATTATTTCTTTGCTTCCTACCAAGGATGATGCTGATACTTCCGTCTTGTGTAGGAGATTGAGGTGTGTTTTCCCTTTGATTACGAGCCTAGACTTCGATATTAAGCCTGTATCGCTTTGTGTGAAACGTTCCTATGCAACTGAACGTTTCCCCACTTTTGTCACCTTTGTTGATACTGTCCTCCAATCATACAAGTCTCAGTGCAAAATCATACAATTAAAAATAACTTGGCTCTCCCGTTTTTTGTTTTTTTTTTTAAAAAAAAAAACTTGACTCTAAACCAACTTGTGCACAATACACCCAGGCCTTGTTTGGCAAATGGTTGTTGGCTGGTTCACTTGGCTTGTTTGACCAACTGGAATGTTGACTGTTTTAAGCTGGCTGTTTATTAAAGTGTTTGGTAAATTAATTGTTGGTTGTTGGCTGTTTATTAGATAATTTGTGGGCTAACAAGCCAAAAGCCAACAAAAAAAGCTACTCAAAACAACTTTTTCATTTTGGATTAAAAGCCAGCTTTTTCGCTGACTAAAAAGCCAATTACCAAACACATTTTTTGACTGTTTGATCATCTAAAAAAGCCCAAAGCCAAAAGCTAACCAAAAAGCCATTGAAAAGCCAATTACCAAACATGGCCCCAATTTGACAACTCTATGGGACCCGTCCAACACACAATTTTCTTTTGGCCCAATGTATAGGTTTCGGGGTCAAGTCCCTTAACTCTTCTTTGGTGTTTTTTTTTTTCCCTCAACAACTTCAAACTCTCATGCTTTCATCACTGAACCCAGAAAAAACTGCACACAAATACAAATTCAAACGTCAATGTTTCCAACACTCAAAATTTACTTCTTCAACTCTAACACACTTCTCCTCTTAATCTCTCTCTCATGTCCAAAAGACTACTTTCTCTCATCAAACCTCGCCAAAACCCCAACTCAAAAGCAGCAAAAATACCCCTTTATGAACCCCATATCAAGAAATTGGCTAATGAAGCATGCAATTTACTCAGAACCCACCAAAATTGGGACAAATTTCTCGAACCCCAGCTAGCTCAAGAATCAATTGAAGCTTCAGAAATTGCCCATCTTGTTTTTGATAGAATTCGTGATGTTGGTTTGGGGTTGAAGTTTTATGAATGGTTTTCTGATCGAAAATATTGCTCTCCGCTTGATGGGTATGCGTTTTCTTCCCTTCTTAAGCTTTTAGGAAGTAATAGGGTGTTTGATGAGGTTGAAAATGTGTTACTTTGCATGAAAAATGATGGTATTTTGCCTACTATTGATGCTTTGGATGTGTTAATTCGAGCTTATGCTGATTCTGGGTTAGTTGATAAAGCTAGGGAATTGTATAGATTAGTTAATGATAAGTTTGATTGTATGCCTAGTGTTTATGCTTGCAATTCATTGCTTAATGGTTTGGTGAAATGTCGTCGTATGGAGGTTGCATTAGAGGTGTATGATGAAATGCTTAAGAGAGATGGTGGTGGTGGGAAGTGTTGTTTGGATAACTATAGTACGAGTATCATGGTGAGGGGTTTGTGCGAGCGAGGGAAAGTTGAGGAGGGAAGGAAATTGATTGAGGATAGGTGGGGAAAGGATTGTGTGCCGAATGTTGTGTTTTATAATACTCTTATAGATGGGTACTGCAAGAAAGGTGAGATTGCGAGGGCGAATTGGCTTCTGCAAGAGATGAAGTTTAAAGGGTTTTTACCTACTGTAGAGACATATGGAGCTATGATAAATGGACTTTGCAGAGAAGGGAAATTTGAGGAGGTTGATATACTTATGGAGGAGATGAAGATGAGGGGTTTGAAAGTCAATGTTCAGATACATAATAATATAATAGATTTCCGGTATAAACGTGGCTGTTCAGTGGATCCTTATGATGTGATTAGAATAATCAAGGAGAGCTATTGTAAGCCGGATATTATGACATATAACATTCTAATTTCTGGTTTATGTAGTAATGGGAACGTTAGGGAAGCTAATGCATTTCTAGAGCAGGCCATAAAAAGGGGTTTGACACCTGAGCAATATAGTTATACTCCTTTCATTCATTTCTATTGCAAACAAGGTGACCCTGATAGGGCTTCCAGTTTGCTCATTGAAATGACAGAGAGAGGTCATAAACCTGATATGGTTACTTATGGAGCACTTGTGCATGGACTTGTTGTTCGTGGTGAGATTGAAGCTGCATCAAACATTCGAAAGCAAATGATTGAGAGAGGAGTTATCCCTGATGCTGGAATTTACAATGTTCTTATGAGTGGATTATTCAGAAAAGGGATGCTCTCAGCTGCAAAACAGTTGCTCTGTGAGATGCTTGACCATAAAGTACATCCTGATGCATTTGTTTACACTACATTGGTTGACGGATTTTCCAGAAATGGTAATCTAGATGAAGCGAAGAAGATTTTTGAACTTGCTGTTGAAAAAGATTTAGATCCTGGTGTTGTGGGATACAATGCCATGATTAAGTCATACAGCAGACTGGGGAGGATGAATGATGCAATGCTCTGTTTCCAGAAAATGACGCAGAGACACCTCTCTCCTGATGAATTCACCTATTCAACAATAATAGATGGTTATGTTAAGCAACATGACCTTAATAATGCATTAAGGATGTTTAATGAGATGGTAGAAAAGAAACTTAAACCAAATGTGGTCACTTATACGTCTCTTATTAATGGGTATTGTCGCCAAGGAGATACATTTGGAGCTGAGAAAATTTTCAAGGAGATGTGGTGTCATGGTTTGATGCCTAATGTAATTACATATAGTATACTTATTGGTGGGTTTTGCAAAGAGGGCAATCTTGTCAAAGCAGCATCCACATTTGAAGGAATGCTGATGAGTAAATGCTCCCCAAATGATGTTACATTTAACTATCTAGTTAATGGATTTACCAATATTGTGCCTGCTGCAATAGCCGAGAAGGAACATGATATTGAAAAGAATGAAAATTCAATCTTTCTGAACCTCTTCAAAAGAATGCTTTTTGATGATTTGTCGCCCAGAAAGTCGGTATATAATTGCATTCTCATCTGCCTTTGTCAGCACAGAATGCTCACAACTGCTTTGCAGCTGATACAAAGAATCATGAATAAGAATATCCTTGACGAATCATTTACTTTTGTTGCCTTGCTCCATGGTCTTTGCTTGGAAGGAAGATCAAGGGAATGGAGAAATTTGATCACGTTTTGTTTGAATGAACAGGAGATCTATATTGCTTTAAGATACTTAAAGTTGTTGGATATGTACCTCCCCAAAGGAACATCATCTGATGTTTCATTCATTTTGCATCAGTTACATGAAAATTGTAAGTTAAATGGCCATAAAGCAGAACATCGTACAGCTTCTGTGAGATAATGGAAAGTTTTGCATCAGTTGGTTGATGATTGCAATTTTACCAGCCATGAAGCTGAACACCGTACAGCATCTGTAAGATAATGGGGTGGATGTAAAGAACAAGAAATGACTATACTCTTGGGTTCAATTGATTGGTAGTGCAAAAATTCCTTCGTTGGATTTAAAATTTGATACAAGTCTTCATGAACCTGATGAATTGGTGATTTATTAATGGTTGAAGACTTAAAAGGAGAGACATACTGGAGGAATCGTGTATATAATTTGGTCCCAAGAGCACCGTGATCTGTCCTTGTCTTACTCTTGTGGCTTTTGGTATGTTTTGAAATCCTATTGCTAATTCAGCTTTGTCTGTTCCCAACTTTTCTTCAACCATTTGCCTTTTTCATAGATACATGGATTTTTGAGTTATTAAATTGATTTGTATGGTACCTTTATGTGCTTTCTCAGTGTGCCCAAGCAGGCTGCTTACTTCACTCTCCCACATCCCTTGTTTAGGTGCTGATCAACATGTAACTCACACCGCATCTTGATGAGTTGGTGTAACACACATTTACCATACAAGACTTGGTAAAACACTAAAACTCTTGATTCTGGTTGGAAAGACAAACTAAAATATGCCTTGGTGCAATTGCCATGTTGTAACCTCTGATCGATTGTCTTCTTTTCACTTACATTACTTCTCTTTGGGTTGGGGGCCAGGTTGCTTTTTTTGTAATTTCACTTGCAAGTTTTCACTTGATTTATTTTTAGATTTGGGAGTATTGTGAGAATAAAAGAGAAGGATGTATTAGTGTAATAAACATATCGATTTCTTAGTAGAAATTGACTACAATTTTTTGACATTGTTTAGGTCTAATTCCACTTCAGAAAACAGCCTTAGCAATCTGGTAAACTGCATGGTCTATACGAGGTGAATCAGTGCTGAGACAATTATGCATTGTTTCAGTCACATAATATTCCTGTGAAGTGTTAACTTTTTCCTTTTGGTATGGTATGAATACAGGTTATACAGCCATAAAGTTAACATGTGCATGAAAAATTACTACTGAAGTACATTGCCTGTTCAAGCATGCGGACTCATTGCTTTCACTGATTCAAGGAAGAGAGTTGTATTGCTTGGCTGAAAACAGCTCTGTTTGGCTCAAATCACAGGTGAAGGGTAAGATACGGCATAGCTACATCCTGAAGTTGCTGGCTGCCCTTCTCCAAGGGTTCTGGACGACACTCCTCGTTACATATAAATCAAAAACATTTGAAAATCTCTTCATATGAAGCCTTGAGCTGGTCAGTCTGTTCTTTTTTCTCTCCTTTTCTTGAATATGCTAATTCTGTTCCTAGGATGGACAATTGTAAATTAGCCAGTCAAGTCAGATGCTTGACAGAAGTATATACTTAGTTTGAACAATATTTTGGAAATGCTCAAGTCTGTTATACTTCCTACAATGGACCTCAATCTCCACAGAGTTTTAATTGAAGTAAATTTTACATTCAACTTTTACCATTATTACCGACCATTATTCATACTTCTGAATCGTTTATTGCCATAATATCTTTTGAGGAAAACATTAGGAAATATTGGTTGTGCAAAAATTAGTCAAATCCTCTCTTCTTGAAGAAGTGAGGGTTTGGATGGAGGAAACTCCTCCGGCTGCTGCTTCTGCTGTTAGTGCAGACAATGCGGCCTTTTCTGATTTATAATACTACTGTTAGCTGCTGCTGTCTTTGTAAAATAATAAAAAAAAAAAAAGAAATATTGATGGTTAAATAAAATCAATATTGATTAGCAAAAGTGTTAAATAAAATCATATTATGTATTCAATAAGCAATCTGAAAATGCAAGAAACCTGAAAGTTCGCCTATTCAATCAAACATGGTTATAAAATCTACTTAGTGGCAAAAACTAGAAATAAAACAGTTTCCATATCTACTTTAGTGGTGAAAACTGGATATAAAACAGTTACTATATCAATCAAGTTTGAATTTATCAAAACTTCAGTTAGATACTACAGGGTCTGTAACTGAATCATTGCCATTGGTATCAGTCAAAGTGCCAAGCCAAGCAGGTGGCAGCATCCCAGTCTGTTCATGGACCGTCTTCACAAGTGGAGGCAGCATGCTATAGACCTCGGCCACACTTTTCATGGATCCACCAGACCCACTTCCACCCTCCAAGGTAGCCCCACCAGACCCGGATGACCATATGCTAATCTTCGGCTGCAAACCTTGGACAGCGTCAGCATTGATCCTTGCCATCTCTTGGAACACTCCAGCATTGATCATCATGTAATCCCTCAATGCAGCATAGTTTCCATTTAGGGCCTTAAGTAGGGTACTAAGGTGATATCCTTGGGCATTAGCAAGGGCTACAACTCCCTCAGCTTCTTTCTTCTTGCTGTAGAGATCTGCATCAGCTGCCTGCTGACGAGTGTAGAAGGCAGCATCTGCTGATGCCTTTTCTGCCTCAGCTTGCTTTTGTTTCCTGTAGAGATTGGCATCCGCTTCTCTTTGGTTGTTGTATAGGTTTTGGTTTGCTTGTTGGACCTGTTAACCAAAAATTTCCGCCAGTAAACATCATTAGAAGATTAAACAGAGTGATGTATCTGCTGTTATGTGAAGTATTATCTTATAGACAAGCAAATTGAACAATTTTGCAGAAATTTGTCAGAAATTAGTACCTTGATGTCATATTCAACAGTTGCCTTACTGAGGAGGTCAGCCCTGAGTTGTTCAGTCCTGGTGAGAGCATTCTTCTTCTCCACCTCAACTTGCAGCTCGGCCTGTCGGATTGAAACAGCCTGCTTAGCCTCGACCTCTGCAAGTTGAGCCGCCTTCGACCACCCGGCCTTTTGTGCAGCCAGCTCAGCATTGGCTTTTGCAACATCAGCCTCTTTTTGGTTCTCAAAAATCTTAACCTCACTCCTTATTTTGACCTCTTCCTTCTTGCCTTCTCCTTCCCTTTGTGTGGATATGATCTTGGTTTCTGCATTGATTTTCGCTGCGTTTTGTTGAGTTTGTCCTTGCCTTAGCATAGCTCCTGTCTCTCCCTTCATCTGTGCCTCTGCTACATCCACCTTAAAGATACAAACACATCAAAATAAAGCAGTTCAGTCTAATATATCAGTGAATTTGTCTCCTAAGTTTATGCATCTCTTCCCTAACATAATTGTCGCAAGCAAAAGTTAACCAATACATTCTCCAAAATACATCATCAATTAGAAATTTCTCTGCCTTGATGTTTTGGAAAATCTTAGACTTCAAGTTGTCACATATACATGCATTATAATTACATCAAGAAAAACTCAAATATGAATTATAAACAATTTTCCAAGTTTTATTTTCAAGTTCATACAAGAATATTACAAAGATTCCTAGACATATACACCATGTAATTTAACAATGCTTTGCACAAAATTAATCAAATAGCTAATTGAAAGCCACCCCAAAATTTCAGTATAATTTAAAATTAAAACCAAACATACTAATTAATCAATCTAAACCCATATAATGAAATAACCAATAATTCATAAAAAAAATAATTAAAAAAATAAAATAAAAGAACAAGCATAATCAAGAAGTACCTTAGCTTGATTAGCAGCCTCCATCTGAGTCTTCTGACCCAAATAAGAAAAATACTCATGACCAGGAACATCAACAAGCTGTTTAATATTAGCATTATAAATAAACAGTCCAAATTGATTTAACTCCAACTGAACTTTGTCAAACACTTCTTTCTTAAACTCCTTAGTACCCTTAAAAATATCCTCCATAGTCATAGTAGCCGCAAGAACCCGAGTTTCGCCTTCAATGATCCCTTGTACAAGTTCATGTACATGGTTAGAGGACATGTCATGGGGTGCCATGAGCTTAGCATACAGAATAAGGCTTGCAGGCTCATCGACTCGAGGGCCGATTGTGAACACTGCAGGGAGCACAAAAGGGAGTTTCTCTGCGCTCATGGCTTGGACATTGAAGGTGTAATTTACGGGTGATACGTTCACTCGAACGTAACGTTGCCCTGGTAAAATCAATGCTTTCTTTGATAGTTTTATTTCGTCTATTTTCCATCCTGTTATTGCTAAGTATTCTGATGGACCTGCTACTTCGTATTTTGGGATTATCATGGTTCTTAGCTTCTTGGTTGTTGAGGAATTGAAGAAGAAAATTCAGAGAATTTTTTTGAGAGTTTTTGATTGTGAGTTTTTGAGAATTTATGGGTTTATTTATAGACGAGATAATCAAGACTTCCTAGTAATTACTATCACCTTAAACTTCCCAATAAGATAATATTCTAATTGTCAATGAAATCTTTATCGAAAATAAGTCATATTAATATGTTTTTATAAAGGAAAATAAATCATGATAATGTGTTTATATATGAAAAATATATCACAATAATATATTCTTCTACATTCTTAATAGGGTAGTGTATAAAATTAGGTGATCGATTTAGATTTAAGAGTCGTAGACCTTGTATAATTGTATTAGGTATTGTTCTACAGAAAAAGAGTTGTAGCTTGAATAGTATTCCTTGGTTAATACAAATGGGCTTGTAAAAAAAAAAAGACTTTGGTTGTATCTTATTATTCGATTCAATAAAGGTTCTTGGCAAAAAAAAATATTATAATATTTACCTCCGTGACCCTGTCTAGATAAATTTTTACAAAAAGACAATTATTAATGTATAATCTTTTTGGACTATAATCTTATTACAAATAGGAGTGTTAATGAGTTGATACCAAATTACCAATGACACATTTGTGAACTACTTGCGAACAAATTCGGTTAAAACTCGTTATTTAAATTAACAAACAAGTTTGAACAAAAATTTTAAGAATGTCAAATAATTGAACAAAGCTCAAACATGTTAAAATCGATAATGTTCATTCATTTACAAGTTTGTTCAAAGCCAAAAAAAAATACTCAGTCAAAGCTTGTTCAAGCTCGATTAAAATTATATTGATATTAAATTAAAAGTACTTTATTAGCATAATTATATATTTCAATTTTCAATCTTTTACTCATACATACATATTTGTTAAAAAATACTTATTTTATCATAGGTAGGCTTGAAGACCTCCGTTATTACATTTTTTTTATAGAAAGAATGAATACATCTTACGAGTATACAAATTTTAATTGGATGCAAAACACAAAACTCGAATAAGGCAAATTCTTATCAAGCCAAGCTCATTCAAGTTCGAAATAGTTCGAACACTAATAATTCTTATTAAGCTTAGCTTGAACAAACTAAAATTCAGCTCGGCTTTGCTTAGATGGTTTATGTCTACAAATGTCTTATCACGACGAGAAAAACACCTAGAAAGTTTTCCAAAAGTCATATACCAATATTACACACACTAAAGCAATTTTTCCAACAAAAGTTCTCTTCCCATAAATTAAAACCTAAAATCACCAAATAAAAATACAACCTAACTAACTTTCAAAAATTTACTTCCCACTAAAAATGGCTGTTACAACCCTTTGCTCTCGAAGCAGAGCAGCTTCCACCTTCTTCTTCCGCTTCTTTCATGGCGCCTCTTCCCGCCATTCTCTCTCGATTTCATCGGACACGCCACCCGCCTCGTCCGATGATGTTAACGATATCTCTCGAGTTCTCAGCGACTTCCGGGGGCCTCAGCACGACATTGAGTCTGCTCTTACCCCATTTTCTTCAAAGCTTTCTACCAATTTGGTTGAGCAAGTTTTGAAAAGAACCAAAAATCTGGGTTTTTCTGCTCACAGATTCTTTCTTTGGGCTAAAAAATTGCCGGGTTTTCAACCTGATGTTAATAGTTATAGGATTCTTATTGATGTTTTGGGTAGTAGTAAGCAATTTCCTCTGATTTGGGATTTGCTTTCTGAGGTGAAATCAGGGGAAAATTTTGAATTGTGCTCAGAAATTTTCTGGGTTATTTTTGGTGCTTATTGTAGAGCAAATTTACCAAATGATGCGATTCGAGCTTTTAATCGAATGAGTGAATTTGGACTCGAGCCGAGTTTGAATGATCTTGATCATCTGTTGTATTTGTTGTGTAGGAAGAAATTTGTGAAAGAAGGGCAGGAATTTTTTGATAAGATTAAGGGTAAATTTGATCCAAGTGTGAAAAGTTATACGATTTTGATCAGGGGTTGGGGTGATGTTGGTAATTCTGAGGAAGCACGCAAGGTGTTTGATGAAATGCTTGAGAGGTTGTGTAGTGGATGTTCCTGCTTATAATAGTTTGTTGGAGGCGTTGTGTAATGGAGGGGATTTGGATGAGGCTTATGCTATGTTTAGAGCGATGGAATCGAAGGGACTTGCACCGGATGCTTGTACTTATTCGATATTTATTCGTTCTTATTGCAAAAGAGATAATATTCATTCGGTTTTTAGGGTGCTTGATAGAATGAAGAGATATGAGTTAGTGCCTAATTTATATACTTATAATTGTATCATTAAGAAGTTGTGTTTGATTGAGAAGGTTGAAGACGCGCACCAACTTTTAGATGAGATGATAGAAGGCGGGGTTAGTCCAGATACATGGAGTTACAATGCAATCATGGCTTTCCATTGTGATCGTAATGAGGTGAACAGAGCTGTCAGATTGCTTTCTAGAATGGAGAAGGAGAACTGTAAGCCAGATCGGCATTCATGGAATATGTTGCTTAAAATGTTAATTAGAGTGGGAAGATTTGATAAGGTTGAAGAGGTGTGGGGTAGCATGCCACGAAAGGGGTTTTATCCTTCAGTTTCGACTTATGCTGTGATGACCCATGGTTTTCTTAAGAAGAAAGGCAAGCTAGATGAGGCAATTAAATACTTTGACATGATGATTGATGAAGGAATTCCACCTTATTCTTCGACTATTGAGCAGTTGAGGAACCGCTTTGTGGGATGGGGTATGATGGAGAAGGTAGAGATACTGGCTGATAAAATGGAGGCAAGTAGTTCTTCCTCTATAAAAGAACTGTCGAAAACAATGAGAGGACATAGGTCTCAGCGGAGTAGACAAAGGAGGGAAGATGAAAGCTCAGAATCCAGTGAAGAGGAATGGCCTTTTATGCCTGATGCTTCATGAGTGCGTGATGCAATTTGAATTTCTTTAGTTTGCAGCTGGTATTTCCTACCAACTGCTCTTGTTGGTCATAAAACTAGATGATATCATCCTCCGTCTTTTCTCAGTTTTGACAGAAAGTGAGGAAGAGGGCCGGGGCATTCTAGTTTCTGTCGCGTTGTTGGAGATATTGCTACATAGTTCTGTAAGCAACAATGAACGTCTTATTTCCTAGTGCTGCCTCTCCTGCAGTGGTGCTATACATTTCAATGAGCATATCTCTTCTGATATGTGATTCTGTATGTGAACATACTTCTTCTGCAAAAATGCTACATATTTCCAAGGTCTGTTAGCTACAATCTGTCCAAATATCGAGGTTAATTGATGATGATGATGTGAGCCTGAAATACAATATGAAGTTACCAGCTCACATACAGAAGAACAAGACGACATCAATAAGAGCATGTACATGGGTTTGAAATTTAAAAAATGATGCGATTTGAGTTTAATTTAATGGGCTATTTTACTTGGGAGGAAGCTTATGGATGATGTCTTTTGTAGCTGTTTCAATTTTAAGGTAAAAATTTTCACTGTGGATCTTCATTGCTCCTGTGTTGGTGAAATTTTGACTTATGTAGGGGGTATCTGTCTGATATAATCTAACATCAGTTTGACAATTGTTGTTTATTTCTATTTGTTTGAAAATGAGAAGAAAATAAACTCAAAAAGAAAAAAAAAAGACCTATGTTTGAGTGGAACACTTCTGTAGTTCTTTTGGTTCAAATGTATATAATGAATCAGAGCACAAAAAACCTATCTTTTTATCATGAACAATATGGTGAAAGACCAGAAAATGATCCACAACCTTCCCAAGCTTAAGAACCTGCAATGTTGTTGAAGAAAATTTATCTATGGAGTCCCATTCGAGATCTTATGAAATTTCAATCATATCTTGTGAATAAACAGAAGCGGTTATATGTCACAACGATATCTAGTACAAAAGAATGATGACTTCTATGCTTCTAAGCCTTATATAAAATATCATACATGTAAGATACACGCTGGTAAAAAGGTGTATAACATCAATGGATCTGAAATAGGAAATGAAAAACTAATGTAGGACGCTTCCTATTTTAGATTACAGTTTAAATTCACAAAAACAATCTGGTAAAGCCGATCCTCTACCCATGACAAATTCATCTCTATGTACCCTCCATAGTTCCCTCTTCAATTGCTTCCCTTTCAGCCCTTGAAAAGTCAGCTCAGAGAAAGCTTTCCGATTCAAGAAGAGAGTTTTATACATGCCTCTAAAAGCTCGCATAGCAGCAACCATTTTATCCATGTTACCAAAATAAGTGGCAATGTAGGAGTCGCTATTAATGGAAACATGGTAGTCAAGGGCAGCTTTGGTGTTCCCATGCATGGCCTTGAAATCTTCATCACGAAGTAGGGCAGATTTTGTATATACATTGGAGTAGATAGATGTCAACCCTTCAATTCCCATTAGACCATCCCCAGCAGCTAAATATATATTTGTGCTTTTTGGAATACCAAGAGAATGAAGGATAAAGGCCGTCTCCCGAGGAGTCAAAGGACACTTTCCACGCTTTCTCCAAATATGGGCTGCTTCCCCAGTCCATGGTTTTCTCTCTCCTCTAGCAGCGTCAATGGCTTTCAAGGATTCAGCGGAGAGGCCTGAGTACTGACACTGGCTGTATGCAACCATGTCAGGCTCAAAACGCAGATGAAGGGCAAGGAATGGCTTAGGTATGGCTTGGAATAGTTCGTCGCTTTTCTTCTCCAAAGCTTTTGTGAGACGCAATGCTTTATAACAAGCTTGGCAGAGAGAAGCTTTGGCATAGTGAGGATACCTGCAAGATGAAAAGACATCAAATTTCAATCAGCTCAATTTTGCTCACCCTTAATAACTAACAAATGAGCCTTGATTAATTAAACCTGTTAACTATCCTTGCTTTTCCTTACCCTTTTTTCCTTTATCCTTTTCTTTTAAAGCATGAATATTTGTAACAAGGTCAGACAACCATATAATTTTGTCATATAACAAGGTAACACAGGCCTTCAAACAAAGCTACAACACTATATCCAATAGCCAAAGAATTCAATATGATGATACCTATCTCTTCTTTGGCTCATCTGGGGAGTAAATGAAATATATCGATGTTGTAACAGGGGAGGAAGCACTGTTTCGATGTAATCAAAGTGGCCCTTCCGTTTTCTACAATCAACCTGGAATGGCTCCTTTGTTGTAAGCTCTGCTGGCAGTTCTTTAACTACTTGAATAAAACCATCTATCTCCTGAATGAAGTAATCAACATCAAAAACATCTGCAAAACCACTAAGGGCATATATATAACCTGTCAGCCCAAACATGCCTGATAGTTTATTAATTTTGCATGAACAATATGGTCAATATGGTCATGCTCTTCCTAGCTGTATTCAACAATAGTTGAGCTTAGAGCTTTCAATACATCCTCATACCCAACTAGACATTGGAAGAGCAGTTTATCTATCATGTGGCATCACACTCAGAGCATGCATTTGGAAATCAACAGAAATGGTAAAGGTTTAGATTCCAACACTAGCTAGGTCCGTAGGAGAAGTGGTGTGGAAGGAAGTGATGCATATCGACATTCCCTGATTACAACTTTTGAGAAAAAATGTAGAGGCAACAAATCTCAAATTATGCAGAACCCTAATTTATGAGCAGCTGCATTCTACAATGTTTTTTCTCTCCAAAAAAACAGAATAAATCAGAGATGAATTACATGAGATGAAAGATCCTCTTCGCTCTTCCTCACTATCTTTTTATTCACTAACATACCCTCCATCTTCGTTACCAATTACCACAGTCCACCGTTCCACCTAAGAGGCTACAAGTAAACCCAAAGGGCATGCCAATATTCATGTAAAAAGTTAAAAACAAACACAAAGAATGAAAGAAGAATGTAAACCATTTCAGCCACAGTACACATCGATAAAACTATAAAAGCACATTCTTCGGGGAAAAGGAAAATATAAATCATCAATTATGGATAAAATGTACCTAGATTCGTTCCAATAGGCAGCAACTTCAAATTTTGGCAAAACAAGGGTTGCATTCAGCAAACGTGCAATGCCAACACCATCACAGAACTGTAGAAACAATACATTCAACAGGATCAGATTAACTTAAAATTACCCTCCTGCTGCTAACTAAATAGTAAATACAGATGCAGAGTACATTCAACAAACAAATGAAAGGAATACTCACATCTCTTCTCATCTGATTGAGGCCCCCATAACAATCCACACGAATATACCCATTAGTCTTTGCAGGTAGAGCTGCAGTATGTCAATAACAAATGTCTGCAAATCAAACACATTTCACATATTCACTTGGAGAGTAAAACGACACTTTCTCCCAAATTTCCCTTACTAGACCTAGATCGAACATATCCCATGTGGAAACAATTGCCAGAAACTTAACAAATGAGACGGAGGAATAATACTAACCAGCTGGTTTGTCCTCAAGCCACCAATTGCAAGGTCTCCACTCTACAATACGCCGGAGGCTCCATATATCCGTTCTCACACTAAAATTATAAATTCGAAATCAGATGAGCAACAATGTCAGTATGTCACTATTCATTAAGCTAGGCTACAACGAATATCAATCTTCTACAGCTAACTTTAGGATTCCCCAACTTCTTAAAATTCACTTTCTACAAACCACAATCTCTTTCTTCTCCTCAAAATCCAAAGTTAAGTTATCCTTTAACTTGTAGCTTTGGGGGCAGAAGAAAAGAAGCCTGAAACTTAATTCTGAACTGTTGAAATTCAGAAATTCTAGCTTATTGGTGCTAATTTTATGTGACCAAAATCTATGTTTCTCCAAAATCTATGTTCCAAAATCATGAAAATCATTCATAATGCCTTAACAAAGACCAAAACAGATGAAACCGACATTAAGCTAAAGTACAATGAATCACAACTTATATTGTCAAATTCATCAACATTTTCAGTAATCAAGAACAATTGAGAAAACCCAGAACTTATTTTCGTGTTCAACGAATTGGGTTTTTAAATAAATTGAGAAAAATCAAAGAAAACAGCAAAAATCAATTTTTTTTTTTTTTAAAAAAAAAAAAAAACTTAAAATTAATGATTAAAAAATAAGACATGAAAATTGAAAGCTTACCCAGATGAAGAAGAAGGAACTGAGAGCTCGGAGAAGAGAGAAGATGGTGATAAGAAGACCAAAGCAAGGACGAGAGAGAAAGAAAGGATGAAAATGCTGCAAATTGGCTTCTTAAAGAGCATGATTGCTTGATTTAGTGGCTTCATTTCTATGATTTAATTTGACGGTTTTTTCTGCTTTTGATCTTATGAAGAACAAGTGAAAGAGGGATATGGGGAAGATCTGCAATCTCAATTGCTGATTTGCGAAAAAAATTGGAGATAGGAGAAGAGAAAGAGGGAAAAATAGAAGAATTTGTAGATTTATTAGAGCAGTAAACAGTTGGTTAGGGCTCAGAAAGGTTGAACATGGAAGTAGATCGAATCATCGAAATTGGGACTTCACTGCTTACTAGTTACTTGAGACTTCACTAGACGATTTTACTCCTTCCGCCCCTCAATACCATCAATACTTAACACAACTCCTATTATCGTCTGTCCCAAAATATTGACGCGTTATTATAAATGAAATGGAACTATTAATAAAAAAAACATCTTCCTATACTTTTTTTGGGACCTCAAAGGCTTAAACCCCAAAATCACCCTACACAATTTTTTATATATGGTCTGATGTACTCATGCGGCAGGGGTTACTCGAATTACTCAGTCAGAGGTTACTTGAGTTGTTGGGGTTACTCAAATTTCTCAGTTAGGTATTTCTCAAGTTGTCGGGGTTACTCAAATTACTCAGTCAAGGGTTACTTGAGTACTCCTGACCGAGTAACCCCTCAAGTAAGACCTAGTCGAGTAATCCCTCGAGTAATTCATGACCGAACTTCTCGAGTGACCCCTGACCGAGTAATTCATGAACGAATTTCTCGAGTAACCCCTGATCGAATAACCCCTCAAATAATCCCTGATTGAACTCTCAAGTAACCCCTGACCGAGTAACTCGAGTAATTCTTGACCGAGTAACCCCTAATTGATTAACCCCTCAAGTAACCCTTGACCGAGTGAACTCCTGTCTAAACCCTTCAAGTACCCCTGACCGAGTAAATCGAGTAACCCCTAACTAAATAACTCGGGTAACCCCTAACAAAATAATATTCGGTTAACCCCTGACTAAATAACTCGGGTAATCCCTTACTCCCTCTGTTATATAATACTTAGGACATTAGGGTGGACACATAAATAAAACTACAAATAGACCCATTTAAAAAATTTGTTTATTATATAAAAGATTCTCTTTTGTATTTTTATATTGTAAAAAAACAAAAAGTGGAAAAGGTAGGGATAGTGAGGAGAGAGATTCTCTCCCGAATATCGTTCATATATTAATATATAGCTATTTGGGGTCTTATTATTTGATTACAAACAATGTCTCTTTCAAAAAAGTCAACCACCATGAACATTGAAAAATAAAAACTGATATTGACTCACTTTTCATTAATATTGGTACACCTCTGTGTGACAAGAGCATAAAAAAAATTGCTCTTACAATATGTGTGCCAAAATCATATTCGATTGTACAAGTTTGCGATGCTGATATGATGTTACACAAGGCATTGTGAACAACACCTGGTTCTTTTATTTTTTTAATTATTTATAATCTAAACATTATTTTAAAATTTAAATACAGAGTGTAATACTGTAATTTGATTGTTTTTAATGGAAAATTCCAAGTTTATCATCTTGATAAATAAAAAAACGTTTATTTAGTGAAATTTTGGTAAATAATTCAATAACTTATTTTTACCAAAATGTTATTGAATTATTTTAAAATCTTACAGAGTATAAGCTCAAAAATGTTAACACGGAGTACATATACTACATATAAAAATATCATGTCGACTCTGATTTTTTGTTCATTTATTCACATAAATGACACTAAATAAACAATTTTGGAAAATACAACTTTATCTTCTTGATAAAATAAATATTGTTTATCAAATGACAAAAATGAAAATAAATCAATAACTTTTTACGATACATTAACCCCACCATTGTTGGTTTATTTACCAAAATGCTATAATTGGACAAAATTGTTGTTTTATTCACGCTTTTACCATTCAAGAATATAAAATTAGAGTTGACAATCTCTGACACGACAATACAAACGAAACGTACTACACAAACACAAATTTATTGAGAGAAAACATAAAGTCGACACGAAATCTACCTAAACACGATCCGTTTAGATAAAGTAATCAAACTATATAATTTGTCTTATATTTTACATAGTTCTTGATAAATTTTAAGCACATCACGAAATTTACACAGAGATCAAACACGACACGACTTTTTACCGGCTTTAAAATGGACTTCCAATAAAATGGGGCTCCTCGTTTTTAATTATACTGTAGTTGGAAGTCTTGGAAGTAGGAAGTCAAAGCGTCAATAGTTGGAACTCTTAAACAAAATTGGCGCTTCCCTCCCCCCTCATTCACTCCACTGCACACTCTTTCTCCTCGTTATTAACTCCTCCGCCATTTCGACGCCGATCTCCGTCGCTTCTCCGACTCCACCGTCGCTTATCATTTCGACGGCAAACCGCCGCCGTCACCATTGTTGCTCCTTCAACACCAAGGTAATCTTTTCTCATTTTTCTTTTTAAATTCCTCAATTTTCGTTGCTTTACTCCCAAATTTGTATTAGCATTTACTTAATACGTTGCAAGGATTATGCTTATGAGTTCGGATCTTGATGTATTTTGTCATCTGGAAGACGGATTTTGTGTGCGAAACATGAACTAGGGTTTTGTAATTTTGCAATTAGGGGTTTTCTTGTTCATCTTCATGGTTGCTGTTGTGGTGGGATGAAATGTGGTTGATATTGTTTTTTTTGGATTGGAGAAAATGAAGGGAATTATGACATGATATTGAAGAAAAGTTAGATTTTAACTAGACTTGAAGATGTTATAGGAATTTGAGGAGTAGTATATATGCATGCAAATGGGATTTTAAACATCCGAAATCAGAATTGATTGTGAATTACTTTCGATGTTTAAACTCGAATTTGCGAGTTACAAGACTTACAACTATAGTTATATGGCATTAGTAGCGAATCTTGGCCGAAAACATTAGAGGGGCTGGAATTTAAACAATTAACCTCTTCCTCAAAGCTAATCACTATGTCCCAATGTTTATAAGTAAATATAGGTTATTTACTAATTAATTACAATAATTTATGGGGGGCAGGCCCTGAATGGCCCCGGTGGAAGGTCCCTCTCTGTCTAGCATGCTATCAAACATAACCAAAATATAAGCTATATAAGGGCATAAGACAATACCAGGCATGCTTGCTAGCAGCATCTGGTCAATTCTTGGGAGAAATTCTTTGCCAATAACTGTTCTTGACTTGTAGGACAATAACAAATCCTCGTTGGTACTTATAGATCTCTCATTGGTACAATGTTGTACCAATATGTGATGTAAAAGTACCAACAATCCTTTTAGGTACTTTTTTGTACCAAGATAAGAGTTAAAAAGTACCAATGAAAATTTGTTCTTGAACTGACAAAAACAGTTATTGATTTAGAAGCCCTCCTATTCCCGTAGCTGCATTTGCTGATTTTGATGCTTCTCTTTAGTATTAAGCTGATTTTGAGAGAGGGGGTGGGGGGAAGGGAACAAAAGGGTTTGTTTTAGTTGTTCCAATCTTTAGCTGGTTCGAGTAATCTGATTCTGAATGTGGTTGCTTGTAGTCTTCTCGTTTTATTGCATCTGTTAGTTTTAGTTGCTGCATTAAATAGGACAGAATGAAGTACGCTGTTTTAATTTGTGACTTTATGGCTATGGATATATCTCAGATTTTTGAACAGAGTTGGCTTGTTCTTTGGTCATGGCACAAGGAGAACCTGTTACTACTCACATAGAACCTGTACTGGCTAATGACACACCTAGGAGACCCAGGATCCTTCTAGCTGCAAGTGGAAGTGTTGCTGCTATCAAGTTTGGCAACCTCTGTCATTGCTTTTCTGAATGGGCTGATGTAAAAGCAGTGGCGACTAAATCTGCATTGCATTTTATTGACAGCGTGACAATTCCAGAAGATGTGATGCTGTACACAGATGAGGATGAATGGTCTAGTTGGAGTAAAATAGGTGACAATGTCCTTCACATTGAGCTTCGCAGGTGGGCTGACATCATGGTTATTGCCCCTCTTTCAGCAAATACTCTTGGCAAGGTAATTCAACTCTGTCCATTATGTATTGTCTGGTCACGTATCTAACTTTTCTCATTCAAGATTTAAATACTCCGCATGCCATATGTGGAATAGTCAATGCACTCTCTTAGTATTAAGCACTAATGCATTAACCTCACTTCATAAAAAGATGTGCATAACCCCACTTAGAACTCAATGTGGGTTGGAGAGAGTGTATATTCACTTTGAATTTATTTCTTGCCTTTACATTGATATTTTCTAAAGGCTGTTAGGCTATGTCTATCATGACTGCAGACTTTCTGAGTCATAACATGACAACAATGTATAATTTGAATGTAATCAGTCTAGCTATCTCCCTCTCTTATAGACTATAAGTATTTTAGATTGATTAAACATCCAGGTTAAGAAAGACTGTATAGGATGATTTGCTGGGAAAGTCAATGTCTCAAACTTAACCTTGTGTAGGTGATTAAAACATAAATATGAAGTCATATTGTTTTATGGAAGGCAGTGTAGATAATTCGTGCATTAATCAATTTGGAAACTTGAGTTGGGGAATGTCAAGATAGCAAGTAGGAATGAATTTTAGTACTGTATTAATCTATTTTACAATTTTATCTACAACTTTATAGTATATTAGTATAGCATTATGTTTAATCCAACGGAGATTGAAGATTATAACTATAAGATCCAATGTGGCCTTTCTAGCAAATTTGGGCCCTTGTGCTAAATCATGTTTTAAATAATGTGTATGATTCTCTATAATTCTCTTAGTTCATAACTAAACTTATACATTCAATCTTTTGTGTACTGGCTGTCATGGAAACATGTTAATTATCTATTACAGTACACTTGAATTTCAACTTTCAAGTCTTTCAGTTGCTGAATTTACAATTCCATGTATATATATTTTTATTTATTTATTTATATATTTTAATCAAATGCAATCTTTTTTAGACTCTTTTTTTTTTAAATTTTTTTTTAAAGAAAACTGGAAAGGTAAAATCTATTTCATAGCTTCATAAATTTGTATAGGATTATATTATTTACTTAGCTCCAGCTAAACCCTCCTGATTGCTGAAAACTGTGATTCATCTTTAGTCTTCCACTCTATTGGACTAAAGTGATGATGCCTGAATGTGTTGGTGTGCAAAATTTTGAGGTTTGGCCTAGGGGAAGTTGTAGTTGAAGTTACAGTACATATGAAAGACAATATCATGCGGACTTACCATGTCACTAGTGCCGCTTCCAAATGTTACATGTAAAAGCACTATAAGACAACAAAAAGCATACTTAACTTTATATCATCTTTAACAGAAAAGAAAGAACACATGAAAGATCTAGTTGATGGCCAGATGCATTTTATTTGTCCTTTTTAGGAAGCCTGAACAAGGCTTGAAGCCACATAATGAAGTTACTTCCTGAAGCAGCATAATTGGGCTGCAGTCTTGTCTTAATTAACTATTTGGCCTTTGTAGTTTGTACACTGCTTATAGAAATTTTCTTGTAGTAAAGTGAAGAAAAAAACCATGAAATCTTGCAATGCTAAACCAACAATTTTGTTTGAGGCACAGTTTTTACCCACCTATTCTTGATATAATACTCAATGTGAGTCCACTTGATGTATTATTCATCTTAATCTTGTACAAAAAAGATGCTTTCCATTGCATCCTTATTCCTACAGACCCCTAAGTCAGCAGGTCTTGCATCAGAAAGATGAGGCCAGCATAACAATGACGCTTTACTGCTGGCAGCCTTACCAGTTACCAGTCCAATTAATAATTTAGATGTTTTGTGACATTAGAAATACCCAGGTTTTAGCATCAGTTATATACAAATTTAAAAATCATGATCTGAAATAGTTATTTAATGCTAGAATTATTTCAAAGTTTTGTACCCATAAAAGTAGATATATCAAGCATCTTGTCAAAAACAAGCTTTGTAACACAGTTTGTGTGAAGAGAAAGAGACAGTTGAAGAGGACTTGTTGAAACAACTTTTTGATTTAACTAGATGTGGGATCACAATATAGTGTCTCTTTTGTAAAAGTCACACCAAACTTTTTATCGAGCTGTAAACCTTTTCATATTTACCATCTATATGTGCTTGCTTCTCAACTGTATTGACTTTTGTTTCTTATAATATTATATCGTGGCGATGTGATGACATCTCTATAAAGTAAAGCTAAATTTTATTTTGCCACTGTTGATAATTACTCATTTTAACCTATGTTTGCAGTTCAGTTACCATTAAGTTACCTTTCCCCCTCACCCCGGGGCCCTTTTTTTTTTAGCTTGGCACTGGAGGAATGTGGATAAACCAGCCACAAAAAGCCACTTAGATATGGGGTTTTTCATTGTATGTGTAGTACGTACCTAGCTTAAATAAGAGCCAGAAAACATTGGAACTAGAATGCTAGATAATTTAGACACGATCAAGTCTAATATCTCTATTCACCAGCCCTGGAATCCCTTCTTGCTCTACAAAGCTTTGGTGGAAATATGCAAACCAGTGTATGAGGCACAAGGATACAAATAAGGGTCATTTGCCTTTTGTGGTTTCATTGAAATGCACCTGAGGCACTAGGATGATTTATTGGGATTGGGAAATGGCCTTCATTCTATATTTTATGTGAGCATCATTATACTTGGTGAATTTGTGATTACAAAATATTGTGATGTAATAAGTTGATAAAGGGATTTAGTGATGGCTGAGTTGGTAGCATTTCTTCACACTTTAGTCACAGGGGTAAAATATGCATAGTATGACACAATGAGAAGTCTTTTCCCTTGTTGACACCAGCTGTAAAGATTAAAGCATCTTAACTAACATTGAATTAGGTTCACTACCACATTTTGATCAAACTTTCTTGTCCCTTGATTGGAAAAACCGGAAAAGATGTTTAACAATTGAAGTGTATTTGGGCTGATGGAAATCCTGTTACTTAAAATCTTCAATCTATTACTAGTATCCAAGTTGGATCTTTGACTTGGGAATGGACTATTCACACTTTAAATGCCCCTAAATCATGATATATTTCATGAAATAGGTAGTCGAGTCAGTGTGACACTTGGACTTGTACCCTTGTCTAACATGAGTACCTGAATTTGTGGATCATGGGAAGGGAATTATAGGTTTTAAACTTTAAATGGGTAAAAAGTTGAATGTGTATGAACATTGCAGTTTTCAAGCACCCAATCTGTTCTGTTAGTAGCAGTAGCACCAGATCAATGTATCATTCTTAAAAAGAGATTGTTGGATATTGGTTCACATCTTCATCCCACTCAGCATAACTTATTCTTTCTAGTTACACTGTATGGCACATGTCAGCGATGTCTAAATGTAACTGATTTTATTTTTTTCGCAGATTGCTGGAGGATTATGTGACAATCTGCTGACATGCGTTGTACGGGCCTGGGACTACAGCAAGCCTTTATTTGTAGCTCCAGCTATGAACACCATGATGTGGAACAACCCATTTACAGAGAAGCATCTTCTGTCAATTGATGAGCTCGGCATTACTTTGATTCCTCCTGTTACAAAGAGGCTGGCTTGTGGAGATTACGGAAATGGAGCCATGGCTGAACCATCTCTCATCTATAAGACCATACGACTGTTCTTGGAGTCTCATCGGCTCCAAGCTGGCTCAAATGTGTAGAACTACTTAGGTGCCATTCCTAAACCGAGCTAATTTTGTGAAGTTTGTGGATGTTCTATGGCTTCATTGTATAGTAGTTGGATTGTGTGAATGTTTTGCTACCATGATACTGGGTATTCTGATTAAGTACGCATGCTGTAGAGCTTTTGTTTGCCTGATAAAGGCTGACTTGAATTGTTGTCAATATTGCAGATCTAAACCATCAAATAGTTATTACTTCGTATGTTTTAAACAGTGCAGTGTAGTTTGCTGAACATTATTTTATGAAACTAGACATTTGCAAATTACAAATGAGTCACAAGGAGATAGCAAATGCGGGAGGGGGTGAACTTGTTAGTTGTAACCTATTGTACACAGATTTTTAGTTGAGCTGGACTCGAGTATGAATACGATAAAAAGTCAATTATGTGTAGTAAGAAGTTACATAGTACTCGTATCCTTTTTAAGAAATGAAATTAGCTACTTCCTAACTTTAAAAGCAGTAATGTAGAATGAATTTGATTTGAGGTTTTGGATACCATTCTAAAACTAGTTGACATTTCTGACCTCATTTTAAATTTTAATAGTTACTCGTAGCTTATAAGTAGCATTGCAGAGATATGTTTGTAAACTGCATACTGATTAGAGTTCATAATCATAGATGATGTTGACGTTGCATTCAATATACCTAATAAAAATGTGATATGAGGATAAGAGTATTAGGTATTACGAACTTGCTAACTACAAAAAGAGTGACCAAACAAACATGTGGATGCTTGAATATCAAACAACAATTTATATACGTCAGTAGGTCACCGTATCTTAAAAAAAATAATTCTCGTTTTATAGATGATTGATGTATTATAACATTACGTTGAAATGAAAATAATTTAAAATTATAACAATCAATCACTTGGACTAAACTACTAAAGCTTTATATTCTAATAAAAATATGGGAAACTTTTTTTTTTTTCCCTTAATGTATAAATATATTATTCTTTCAATTGTAATTACTCCGTAATATGAAATGTTCCCAACTTTTCAAAGGGATAAATAATTACATCTTTTTGAACTTCTGTTGGTCCATTTTTCACTTTAATTTGTTTAGTTTGGAAATTTAAAGGGACAAATTAATTAAATTCTTTGTAAATTGACCATAATACAATAGTACGTCCACAAAATTTTCAAGTAAGCAAATACAATATAATGGCTTTTGGCCATTGTCTATAGTTATATATTTTTATGACTTTTTTTTCCCCTTTATGCTATCACTATGTCAAGTCAACTTAAGAAATTCTAAACCAAGTTAAAGGTTTGATTAATTAATTTAAAGATAATATATCGTTACATTATTCTATAATAATTGACAAATTAAACTCATATTTAAAACACTTGACAATATACTAGTTTGACTCTAATTATAAACAATCGCAAAAGTTTCAAAAAATTTGATAAAATGAAATTCTATAGATATGTTAGTAAAAAATTATCATAGTCAAAGTTTACATAAAAATAGTGCAAAAACTCAACATGTGTCAATTTATCATATAAAAAAGAGGGAGTTATATTTTTTAGCATTTTCTTCTATACTCCATATTATTTATTCATATCACTGGAATTAGACATTTTATATGTGCATGCATGGTGGCACGTTTAAGTCAAATTAAATAGATTTTCATAGTTCATACTCTATTTTTAGTAGGTTAACATAACATTTATGGAAAGAAAACGAGAAATCAAAATAAGCATGCATGCAGCATGCATGGGAATTGAAAGGGCCGTGCAATCACTGCAATGGGCATGCCAAAGTAACAAAATGACGTGCTTTTTGCAAACAGCAGCATGGTTATTCATGTCACTTAGAATTCATTAGCAACAAGGTAAATTTTGGTCACAACAAAATTAAGTCAATATAGCATCAACTAAAATTTGTTGCTAGTCACTAAAAATTCGTTGTCAACTCTATTTAGCAACGGATTGGAAACAAACTAAATAGCAACAAACTATTAATGTTGGTTGCTATCAACACTAGGCCTTTACCAATCTGAAATCTCACTCAGGCTCAAGAATCGCAGTTGGTAGGAGGCGAACTTGTGACCTCAAAGTCACATGGTGAATCTCTTACCAACTATACCAAGTACTATTTGTTTACTTCTAGGCATATAATTTATAATAAGAGAATGAAATATTAGAGATTGAAAATTTTGTCTCTAAATTAGGGACAAAATAAAAAATCTGTCTCTAAATTAGAGACAAAATTTAAATCCATCTCTATTTGATGTCACTATAGCAACAAATAATACGAAGAGTGTCTTCAAATAATTTTATACATAATAACAAAAAGTGGTCTACATATAAATTAACAACAAAATGTAACACAACTTGTTTCTAATGGCAACAAATAAAAAAATATGTTATCATCTAACAACAATAATTTAGACGACTTGTTTCTAATGGCAACAATTCAAAAATTCATTGACTTTTGTTTGTTTCTAAATCAATACAAATAAAATATTTGTTGCCATAGTTTGTTACTATATGGCAACAAGATTAAAATATGATGTCATCTAGTAACAGCTAGTAAGACAATTTGTTTTAAACAACAACAAATCAAAAACATGTAGCCATTAATTATTAAAAAAACTAAAGTATAAAATGTCGCTTTTAATTAGGGAATGAAAAAAAATTATATTCGTTGTTATTTAGCAACATTTTAAAAATCTGTTGCCAAACTTAGTTACTAAAAACCTTTTATTTTTATAGAGGGTACGCTTCATAGGTGTTACTCATTCTGTCTTTATTTATTTGTCCAATTAAATATTTAGGTCAAAACTTATCTAAATTGATACCATAATCCCATTTCCCGATTTCCACTGGGTGTGATTGCTGAGAAACGATGGTGGGACAAACTCAAAGGCTTGCTTTTATAGTTCAATTCACATTATTATAAATTTAATGGGTGAACCTTTTTATAAGGTGTAATGTGTTGCACACTTACACTCATTATTAGTCATAAACTCAAAACATGTAACCTTGCCAACTTGCCATATCACATGGTGTGTGTACACTTAAAGTCCTTATATTAGCTTCGTTTTCCTAGAACAGTTAGTTTGTATTATGTTGCTGATCAACCCTACAAGAAGAATAACTTGAATAATTCTTTTACAATATATGCATAATGTGTGTGTATATATATATATATTTTCTCTAACAATTAGAAATCTAGGAACAATAATTTAACAATAATATATGGTTGCTCAAATGGATTCTTGGATTCAATAGTAGCACTTTGTTTGCTTCTAGAATAAGTTCTAGCTATTAGAAATATTTACTTTTTTGTTTAGAATAAGTTGAAAAGCCTTTACTTTTACTAGTTCATGTGAATATCTATAAAAAAAATATTAATTTGTTATATATATATATATATATATATATATATATATATATACTTTGTGCCATACTTGGACTAGATATCAATAATTCATCATAATGTATAAATTAATAATCATTATGCTGGAAATCATGAGAAATACACCGATTAAAAAATAAAGATCGGCAATCATTCGATCGATTTATGCAAGAAGAGAGTTTACAATTTTTCAAAAAGTGATTATAATATAAATCATGGACCTTTTGTTAGAAAATATAGACCCATCACACATCAATATCAATAGGTAAAACAACAAATTCCACCAAAATGATTGAAGTTGTCCTTTCCAACATATTTCTTTGTTGTTGAAGGTTCACATCATTACAAATATTTCATAGTACGAACCACTAAAATTACATTTTCTTTTGTCATAAGATCCTCTTATAATTTTAGAACTATAAAATGTGTGCTTCGAATAATAAGTATTTGATTTTATTGTAACCAATTCTCCTACCACATGTCAACGCCTAATTGGTTAAAAAAAATTATATAACCTTAATAATCTACTCCATAGATTTTAACCTTTTCCCTGCTTCACCATTCGATTGACTACCTCTTCTTCCACCACGGACCGACTCCTCACCACCATTAAGCAACCCCTCCTGTCTCATATTGATTCCTGACCCCCAATAAAAAATAACCCTTGTCCCTTCCCTATCGCCGAAAACTTAAAAACATTTTCAATTCTATACTCCCAAATGCATATAGAGGTAGGTACACCCAGTGAAAGTTAAAAATAAGAAGAAAATACCCTTATGTGCAACCTTGCACTCAGGTGTATATAAAAAATTTTGTCGAATGAAAACCCTCCTCTAGCTCCTCACCAACTAATATAATTCATTAATTAATATTCCTATTCTAATATTAAACCGGTACATCTCACAGGTTTAACCAGCTCAGCGCTGGAGAGTAGAGGAGAAGGTAAGGGAATCCCCCTACTCCCAATAAGTATTTTGTAGTTAGTGGGCTACAACTTGTGAGTTTAAAGTCACAGGGTGATCTGAGTTCCCCACCAACTCCAATCATTTCGTCTACTTAATGTCTTAATTATCATATCACAAAAGCCATTATGTATATCTAATAAACTACGGAGTATGTACCATAGTCCCATTACCTTCATTCATCAAATGGTGTTCTTTTTGTACATAAATATGCGAGGGCCCCACCTTGCAATTGTATTGATGATCTGATCTGTGATTGCTAATTTCATCTCCATTATACATAATTTTTTGGAATTTTATGTCTAAGATTTCTTCAACAAGTACATTAGTCACATGTCATTATATCACCGTCAATTTAATTACTTTATAGTAAACAATTTGTAGTAAGGTCTATTATTGATTACCATAGACTAATTAATTATTTTGGTTGTTTAATTTCTGTTGAATATATATAATATATATGCTGATATGCATAATGCATGGTAATATATGCTACATCATGTATAATTAATATTTAATTATCGCTAATTAATTGTTCCCACCTGGATCTTATATTAGTTAGAAGTTGAAAACTGCTAAATCATTGATTTCACCTATAACAATAATGCATGTATTATAATTTACGTACGTATAAAATATGTAGTCCCTTGATAATAATCTTCTTTCAACTTGCTCATTAATCACGTAATCATATTGTCAAATACTATGACTTATTGTATTACCACTTATTTACTCATAATTATTGACGAGATTACATACTTAAGTTGCACATTATTTATCTGATTTTCACTTAATAAAAATCATCAATTAGTAGACCTTGTTGAATCGTACTCTAATCGTAAATTGAACTTGAGTATTTCTTAATTAAAAATTCTTATTTGAACTCACATATTTTTCCTTAACTAATTATTCCGTTATTTTTTTTAGAAACAATAATTACTGCGTATATAATTAAAATACACTTATACGGAGTATATAGATATAATTATTATTACGTATATTAGTGTATTTTAATAAATATTAAACATGACATAAATGAAAATAAGATAATCAGTACATTATGCATGGTATTAACAATTTTACATAGTATACTAAATTGGTTACTCTTTGCAATATATATAGTACTCTATATAATATATTTATTTTTGTGCCAATGACCTATCTTGCTAGTCCGACTATTTGACAGCGTAAATACATGCATAGCTTGTCATAATTTCGGCTTTCATTGATTTTCTTACGCTAAACCTGAATTATTTTATACTTACTTGAATAATTCAATGTTTGAGGTTGCTTTCCTAAAAATCTATAATGAACCTCAATCAAAACAAAATAGTCCAAAGAGTATGTCATATTACTCATGTGATGTGGCAAATATTGACATGGCAAATTATAATTGATTATTAAAATTAAACTGATTGTGATACATATTTAACTTAATGGTATCCTTTTTTTAAAATTCACAAAATAATTCTGAAAGCTATAAAACTAAGTACATATAAATCTATGAAAACATAACACGTGTGGATATATTATGTGGGATTCAACACACACCAAACTTAACCAATACAAAAAAAAAATCAACACACTTTTAGCACTTCTGTACTCTGTATTAAGATATGAGATTGACTCTGGACTAAACGTCTTCTATGTTAAGATAATTATCTTAGTCAAATGTACTAGATTAGTGCTTAGGATATTATCTTAGCCTATTTTATAGCCTTAATTTATGGCTTATGTGAAGCCTGATACTTTGTATATATATACACAGTAATATGGAATGCAATGTTGACGGATTAAATTCCTTTATGGTATCACGAGACTAGGGCGTTTTTCCGCTGCGCACCCTAGTTGTTCCGCCCTCTTCCTCTTCTTTCTTCTCTCTGTGAACAGCAGCCATGGGAGACTCCAAAAATTCCTTCCATCCCGCTATGACTGTTAACAACATCAAAACTAGCATTCCCCTTACCCTTACAATGGAGGATGCTTTAAAATTCATGCTCGTTATTCCCCCAAAGGAGAAAAAACTATGGTCGGTCTTAGATGCGGCTGTCCTCGGATGGATTTCTCATGACTTGTTGCAAACTATTATGGAACCCGACTCTACGGCAATGGAGGCTTGGAATAGGTTGAAAAATATATTCCAAGATAACCAAAACTCTCGTGCCGTTACCCTTGAGCATGAATTTTGCAACACACAGATGGAGGACTTCCCTAATGCTTCGGCTTATTGTCAACGGCTTAAAAGCCTCTCCGACCAGCTGAAAAATGTAGGGGCCCCGGTGGATAATAACCGCCTAGTCCTTCAATTGGTCTCCGGTCTAACGGAACCATACAACGGCGTTGCTACCTTGATTAGGCAGAGCAACCCTCTCCCTCAATTTTACCAATCCCGGTCAATGCTCACCTTGGAAGAAGCGGGCTTGGCAAAACGAGCAGCAACAAACTCGGCATCTGCTATGGTGGCTGGTTCCTCGCGTGACGTTGAAACAGGGCAGGATGGCTCGGGTACAGCTCGTGGGAAAAATAAAAATTCCAAGAAAAATGGTGGCAAGAAGCAAAATGGTGGTTCTGGCGGTGGCAGCCGTGGTGGTTCTGGCGCCGGCGGTGCAGGTCGCGGTGGCGGTCAGCAGCAACCTCAGTGGTCGACTTCTCCTTGGGGACAGCAGCAACAGTGGCCGAGTTCTCCTTGGGGTTGGGTGCCTCAGTGGGCTACTCCCCCTTGAGGCCCACCAAAACAGCAATCTGGTATTCTTGGACCAAGGCCTCAACAAGCTTATTCAACTTCTTATGCACCAACGGACATTGAATCGGCGATGCACACTATGACCTTACAACAACCCGATCCCTCGTGGTACATGGACACCGGTGCCACTTCTCACATGACATCCTCAAATGGTAATCTCTCGTCTTATTTTAATTTGAGCAATCATCATAATAGTATTGTTGTTGGTAATGGTCATACAATTCCAATTCGTGGTCGTGGTCATACTACTTTGCCATCCCCTAACCCACCTTTGTCTCTCTCTAATGTCCTTCATGCCCCAAAACTCATTAAGAATCTAATCTCTGTTAGAAAGTTTACTACTGATAACTGTGTGTCTGTTGAGTTTGACCCTTATGGTTTTTCTGTGAAGGACTATCGGACGGGGATGCCAATAATGAGATGTGATAGCCAAGGAGATCTTTACCCACTCACTACCACTATCTCACATTCTTCTCCTTCGACCTTTTTATGGCATGATCGTTTGGGACATCCGGGTTCTTCTATTTTTAAGGCTCTTTGTAGTAATAAAAGCATTGAATGTAATCAAACTCCGAGTTCTAGTGTTTGTCATTCTTGTGTACTTGGAAAACATATCAAATTGCCTTTTATGTCTTCTCAATCTACTACTTCTATGCCTTTTGATATTGTTCATAGTGATCTTTGGACATCTCCTATTTTAAGTTCTTCGGGTCATCGTTATTATATGCTTGTTTTGGATGATTTTTCTAAGTTTTTATGGACTTTCCCTTTAGGAAAAAAATCGGATGTATTTAGTAACATTTCTAATTTTCAAGCATTAATTCGTACCAATTTGAACGACCCATTAAAACTTTTCAATGTGATAATGGGAGGGAATATGATAACGGACCTTTTTGGGCATTGTGTGAGTCTAATGGCATGTCTTTTCGTCTTTCATGTCCTCATACGTCTTCACAAAATGGAAAGCCCGAGAGAAAAATAAGATCCTTGAATAATATTATTCGCACTCTTCTAGCTCATGCTTCTTTACCTCCGTCATTTTGGCACCATGCCTTACAAATGGCGACATATCTTCATAACATTCTACCAAGTAAATTGCTAGAATATAAGTCCCCTCTCCAAGTATCCACCGAATCATAGGGGTTACAAATGTTTTGACTTGTCATCTAATAAAATTATAATTAGTCGGCATGTTATTTTTGATGAGAATGTGTTTCCTTTTGCTAAGTTGTATACCCCCCCCTTCCTATGCATATGACTTCTTGGATGATGGACTTAGTCCGTATGTTATTCCTCACTCTCCTCCACGAAATGGGCCACCGAACTCTCCTCCACCAGGCAGCCCAACTCACTCTACTCCCACTTCTTCTCCATGCGTAGGGGTGTACATAAACAGGACCGGACCTGAAAACCGACCTGAACCGGACCTGTTGGGACCGGACCTGATCCGGACCTGTAGATTCAGGTCCGGTCCCGGTCCTTGAAATTCAAGGTTTCCGGTTCCGGTCCGGATCAGGTCCAAAACCGGGGTTTTCAGGTCCGGACCTGAAACCCGGATTTTTTATATAATATATATATAAAAAAAATATAAAAGCCTAAAAAACCTAATACTTCAAGTCTTCAACTGCAACGCCTCTTCTCCTCTCACCTAAGGAGCACCGTCGACTCCTCTTCCTCAGTATCCCCTCTCTTATCCTTTCTGATTCTCAGTATCCCCTCTTCCTCTCTAATTCTCAATCTCCCCTCTTCCTCTCTGATTCTCAATCTCACCCTTTCTTTCTGGTTCTCAACGACTCCTCTTCCTCTCCTCTTCTCTCTTCCTGGCTCCAGCATCGTGGGATTGGAGCACCGTCGTCCAACATCGAGGCCCCGTCGTCCACCATCTGCCGTCACCAGAGTATGTTTATACTTTAGTTTTAGTTGAATATAGGTTAGTATGTAGATCTAGTTTTATTTTTCACATAATTTACGATTATAATTATCTTTTTTAATGAAATTGTAATGTAAAATTATAAATTTTGTAATTTAAGTTTGTAGATCTATTTTTTCGAAATTTCTGTATTTTTTTTCTCGGATTTTCTGACAATTTATGTATAATTTGTTTTTTGCGATTTTTTTGTTCGTTTTTTTGTTTTTTGTTCGGATGTTGGATGTATGTGTGGAATCGATTTGGGTTTTTTTCTTTTTCTTTTGTTTTTCTGGGTTGTGGGTGCGGTGGATGCCTGACGGTGGTGGGTTTTTTTTTCAATTTTTTCGTTTTTCTGGGTTATGGGTGGGTATCAATGGGTCTGGGTTGTTGGGGTTATGGTGTCTGGGTTAAGGGGGTAATTTTTTCGTTTTTCTGGGTTATGGGTGGGTATCAATGGGTCTGGGTTGTTGGGGTTATGGTGTCTGGGTTAAGGGGGTTAAGGTGGTTAAGGGGTGAGTTGGGGTAGGTGGTAGAAGGAAAGAAGCTTGTGGTGGTGGGCTGTGCGTAGGGGTGTATGTATTAGTGGTGGTGGGTTGTTCGTAGGAGGTTGTTGATGATAGTTTTTAGTCAAAACTTTGGCTTGAATAAAGAAAAAAAAAAGGGAAAATACAAATTCAGGTCTGTTCAGGTCTAAACCCGGACCGAACCTGAATTTTCAGGTCTGACCCGAAACCGGACCTGTTGATTCAGGTCCGGTCTCCGGTCCTCAAAATTCTCTAATTCAGGTCCCCGGTCCAAACAGGTCCGGTCCAGGTCCGGTCCGGTTTTGGACCGGTGTACACCCCTATCCATGCGTGCAAGCCACTGTTGGGCAGAATAGCACTGGACCGTGGGCCTGTTCAGTCAGCCACGGCCCAGCAGGGTCCTACCCATACAGCTAGCCCAGGCGCACCTTTGGCCCAGCAGATCACGACTCCTACCCACACACAGCCCACGGCTCCAACTCACCCACAACCACAAATTCAACATTTATTACCCCTCTCTTCTCCTATAATGACACGAAGTAGAAATGGTATAGTAAAGCCTAATCCAAAATATAAAAATTTCAGTGCAACGGTGACTACGGTTACGAAATCTCCTTTACCCCGTAACCCCATTTCTGCTCTTCGTGACCCGAATTGGAAAATGGCCATGGATGATGAATTTAATGCTCTTATTAAAAATAAGACTTGGGAGTTAGTGCCCCGTCCGCCTGATGTTAATGTCATTCGTTCTATGTGGATTTTTACTCATAAAGTGAAATCTAACGAGGATTTTGAGAGGCATAAAGCCCGTCTTGTAGGTGATGGCAAAACACAACAGGTTGGCATTGATTGTGGGGAGACATTTAGTCCGGTGGTGAAACCGGCTACCATTCGTATTGTCCTTAGCTTGGCTTTATCTAAAGCTTGGTCGATTCATCAACTTGATGTTAAAAATGCTTTTTTGCATGGTGAGCTACAGGAGACGGTTTATATGCATCAACCTCTTGGTTTTCGTGATAAAACACATCCTGATTATGTATGTTTATTGCGGAAATCTTTATATGGTCTTAAGCAGGCACCCCGGGCATGGTATAAGAGATTTGCTGATTTTGTTACTTCTATTGGTTTTACTAATAGCAAGAGTGACAACTCTTTATTTATTTATCGTCATGGGAAGAATGTGGCTTATTTACTTTTATATGTTGATGACATTATTCTTACTGCTTCTTCTTATACTATGTATGTTTATTGCGGTGTTCTATCATGTCTCTTCTTAGCTCGGAATTTGCTATGAAGGATTTGGGTCCTTTAAATTATTTTCTTGGCATTGCTGTGACTAGACACAAGGGTGGTTTGTTCTTGTCACAACGGAAATATGCAAAGGAGATCATTGACAGGGCTGGGATGACATCATGTAAGTCCTCGGCTACACCAGTTGAGGTTAAACCGAAGGACAGCTCTACCGGTTCTTCTTTTGCCGACCCTACTTTGTATCGTAGCCTTGCTGGGGCTCTTCAATACCTCACTTTTACGAGGCCGGATATCTCATATGCGGTCCAACAGGTATGCTTACACATGCATGATCCGAAGGATATTCACATGTCTGCTCTGAAGCGGATAATTCGGTACATACAAGTAGGGGTGTACACCGGTCCAAAACCGGACCGGACCTGGACCGGACCTGTTTGGACCGGGGACCTGAATTAGAGAATTTTGAGGACCGGAGACCGGACCTGAATCAACAGGTCCGGTTTCGGGTCAGACCTGAAAATTCAGGTTCGGTCCGGGTTTAGACCTGAACAGACCTGAATTTGTATTTTCCCTTTTTTTTTTCTTTATTCAAGCCAAAGTTTTGACTAAAAACTATCATCAACAACCTCCTACGAACAACCCACCACCACTAATACATACACCCCTACGCACAGCCCACCACCACAAGCTTCTTTCCTTCTACCACCTACCCCAACTCACCCCTTAACCACCTTAACCCCCTTAACCCAGACACCATAACCCCAACAACCCAGACCCATTGATACCCACCCATAACCCAGAAAAACGAAAAAATTACCCCCTTAACCCAGACACCATAACCCCAACAACCCAGACCCATTGATACCCACCCATAACCCAGAAAAACGAAAAAATTGAAAAAAAAACCCACCACCGTCAGGCATCCACCGCACCCACAACCCAGAAAAACAAAAGAAAAAGAAAAAAACCCAAATCGATTCCACACATACATCCAACATCCGAACAAAAAACAAAAAAACGAACAAAAAAATCGCAAAAAACAAATTATACATAAATTGTCAGAAAATCCGAGAAAAAAAATACAGAAATTTCGAAAAAATAGATCTACAAACTTAAATTACAAAATTTATAATTTTACATTACAATTTCATTAAAAAAGATAATTATAATCGTAAATTATGTGAAAAATAAAACTAGATCTACATACTAACCTATATTCAACTAAAACTAAAGTATAAACATACTCTGGTGACGGCAGATGGTGGACGACGGGGCCTCGATGTTGGACGACGGTGCTCCAATCCCACGATGCT